AGCCAGGTCTCCTCCCCGCCGCCGGCGCCGCGGGGTCCCGGGCCGCGCCCCGCCTGTTCCCCTTTGGGGTTGACCTGGGGGCTTAGGGGTCGCGGGCTGAACCTGGCCCCGCCCCCAGGCGCAGGCGACGCTTGTGGGGGGGGTGACGGAGGGGCCCCTGGTGTGGCAACCGAGCGAGCGGCGGCAGGGGGCGCGATCGCCCGGAGCCGTGGGAGGGGCCGCGCTGCGCGCCCCCTAAGGGTTAATTTTGCAGCCTTGTGCCCCCTCCCCCCGTGGGGCAGGTTGGGGGGTGGGGTGGGGCTGGTGTGAGTCCAGGCGGGCGCCGCGAGCCGCTGGGAGGGCGATGGCGTAGGAGCCAGGCAGAGCGGGGGAGGGGTGGGCCGAGCGCCCCGGAGTTGGGGTGTGCGGGGTGCGCAGGCGAGCTGGGGCTCTGGGCCGCTGCGCTGTCGGGGCAGGCTTGTGGCCTTAAGCCCTGGAGACTGTCGTCGCTAGGTTGTGCACAAGGTAAAACTCTTCGGGGCACCACCGTTTGCTAGTCAGGCAGGCAGGGGGTCCGGACAGGGCCTTCCCCGCGGCCCCGGCTTTGGGGGGGGGGAGCAGGAAGGCAGGAGGTCGTACAGGGTTAGGACAGAATGACAAGATGTGGCTCTCAGTGACAGATGGGCATTGAAAACAGGGCACATACACGAGCGCGGAGTTGGTTGGCTGTGAGGTTTGAGGTATATTTTCTACCTGTGCATGCGTTTTCTTGCACATATGTGTGTATCTTGTGGTGCATACATGAAGTGTTTTCTGTACAGTTGGTGTGACGTATGCGTCGTGGAGGGTACCAAAATACCGGGTGTATCAGCCCATTTGCTGGGCCTGGCTGGTCTTTGAGTCGGTTGGCGTCATGTCTAGGTCGTATTTCTGTGGCCTTCCCAGGCCACTGGATAAGCCTGTGTGTCTGTTGATGGGTGAATTAAAAGGGGATAGCACCTCTAGAACTCAAGCCCTGCAAGTCTTTGAGTGGAAAAAACCCTAGGTGCATCATGGGTCCCTGAGGGTCATCTGACTCTGGTGTAGGGGCTTGAAGTATACCAGGCCTGTTGTGTTTATGGGATCGTGGGCAATGGGGAAGGTTGTGTGTTTGCAACATTCTCCATGGGATTCTTTTGTGACGCGTTGTTTGTGGAAGCCTGTCGGGGCTGTTGAGCTGGGAGGCGAGCTGGTCAGAAAACATTTGTGGGGAGGGAGGTAGAGACAAAGGCACTGTGGGCCTCAGACCCAAGAGTCCAGCTCGAGCTGAGCCGAGCTGTGTATGCGTGCTGACTCCTGGGTGTTTAAGTGGTGGTGGGAGGCTACAGTGGGGATGTGTTAGGAGGAAGGCGGGGAGATAAATATGGGACAGAGCAAGGGCAACAGTTGGAGGCCTGAGTGTTGCTGAAGTGGTTCCACCAGCCTTTGCGCAGGTCCGCATGTTTGCCCCTTAACTGGCCTGTCTGCTGTGTCAGGGTCACCGAGGAGAGGCCAGGCAAACTCCAAGGGAAGTGAGCTTGGACAGAGATGTGGCTCTGTGGCCGTGTTTATGTAAAGGCTGGGTGTTTGACTTTTGTCATTAAAATGGAGGGGGGGGGAAGAGTGAAGTTTTCAAGTCTCTTGTTTCCTTCTCTGCCTGCCCCCCTTTGCGGAGAGCTCCGTTTCTCCTTCTGTCCTCTGACACACACCAGGCCACATTTCTGTGACCTTCCACCATAGAGGGCTCTGGGAATGGAATTTGCTCACTAGGCAGATTCCTCAGAACAGGTTTTCCTCACCTTTGGGGCCTGGGCCTTTCTGTGGCTCTGGGGGGTAGGAGGTGGGGGCGGAGGGCTGCCTTTCTGTGCCTGTGTGTGTATGTGTGTTGGAGGGAGTGACATGTACGTTCCAAGTATACACACCCATTCTGTGTCCTGGGCCTGACCTGGAGGGAAGGATGTACGTGTTGGGGGCTGCAGAGCATGATCTAGGCCTCTTGCACTAAGATGGGGGGAGGCTGGCTGCTGCATGAGGCCTACACAACAGGTGCACAGGACAGCCTTGTGGAGGGGAAGGAGCCAGTACTGGAACTGAGGAGTTGTCCCTCCACTCGGGCACTTTCTCTGAGTGAGCCTTAGTTCCCCTCACTTGCAAAATGGGGCTGTTTACCTGCTGCCCTCTTTGTTCTCACAAGATTGTACGCAAATCCTGGGCAATGGAACGGAGAGTGGTTCCAGTTTGTGGCTGTGCCTTTGCGAGTCACTGTCAGCCTTCTCTGTCAGCATGAGGGTCTCCTTTTTGGGTTTTGCTCAGTGTCAGCAGTGAACACCCAGCACTTAACCAGGTACTAGGATTTCAGTAGTTTTGTACATGATCACTCATTTAGCCTTCACAACGACCCTGTGGAAGTAGACGCTGTAGTCACCTACCTTTTTCAGGCCAGGCTGCTGAGGCACAGAGAAGTTAATGCATTTGCCCAAAGTCCTTAGCTAGTAAGAAGTAGAGCTGAATTTGAACCCAGACAGTTAGGATGTGGATCCTGTGCTTTAATCATAATAGTCTGCTGCCCACCTGGAACTTTAAGTAGGCTTCTCTGTGTGCCCCCCACACTTCTCCTCCAGTTTCTGTGGAATTTAGCATCTGCACCAATGCACTTTAGAAGACCAGGATGGAATACTCAGGCAGTGCTCTCAATGAGTCACAGCATGGAGAGTGAGAACCTAAATATGTGCTGCAGTATAATGTGGGTGCTTCCCCAAGGGACCAAGAACCATGGCTCAAGGGAAGGAGAGGTTACTCCTTGCTCGGTGGGTCAAGGAGGATCAAGGAAGAGGTGGCCTTTGCATTCTGTCCTAATGGTTTGGAGGGACAGATCTTGAGAGCAGTTTGTGAAATGGCATTTTCAGCAAGACACTAATAGATGGCAAAAGCATGGCTGTGTGGGACGTATTGAAGTTTGATATCACACTGGGTGCTTGAAGGGAGAGTTAAGGCAGAACACAGTTAGGAAGGAAGGTTAGAGTGAGATTTGAGCCTTTGAATGAATTTGAACTTTATTGTGGAGTCTGGCAGAGACTGGCAAACATTTCTGAGCCCCCAGAGCAATAACTTCAGAGCAGTGAGTAGGAAGTTGTTCCTCAGTGGGAAGAAGGCCACAAAGAAGGGAAACCTGGAGGCTGGGGGCTCCCTTGGGAGGGACCCAGGATAGTGTGGGGACCAGAGGCAGGTTTGACAGGAAGGCTTCCAGAGCCATTCCCATGCTCAGCACAGATCCGACCTGACTGGTGCCTGCCTGGATGTGGGAAGCAGGGAAAGGGTGGAGTCAGACATGACACATTTAGTACTCAGCACGTGAGGCCTTGTGTGGTGATTTATGTAACCAGCTGGCTGACCATAGGCCCCTTCAGTGCAGGATCCAGCAGTATGGCAGAGGGGACAGATGGGCCTGGGTTCAAATTCTGACTCGGCTGCTTGTAAGATGTGTGACTTTAAGCAAAACATATCACTCTTGGAGCCTCAGTCTCCTCTTCTGTAAGATTAGAATAATATAAACACTGTTTTGGGTTATGGTTTTGAGGATCTCATTCAATGAGAAGATGCTTGTAAAACCCCTAGAAGTATATTGCGGGTGCTGCAGAAGTGGTCCTTGGTAACGTGGTTCGCCACAGAGTGTGGCTTCCTTCCAGAAAGTAGACAGACTTAGGCTCACTTTGACGAGGACAGGTTCATTTATTGCCTTGAGAGCTCTGGTGGCGTAGTTAGAAAGGAGTTAGTTGCATTGCTGGCCTAAAGGCTGCACCTCTGATGGTTTAAATCCACAGAACTCCATGGGAGAAAGAAGGTGGGAAATGTCCTATGCCCTTCACAGCCTCAGAAACGCAATGGAGACTCACTATGAGTAGGTTCAGATGTCACAGCAGAGAGAGAGAATGTGTGTGATGTGCCAGGCATGGTTCTGAGCACTGGAGATAAAGCCGCCGACAAAGCAGAAACCCTCACACCGCCCCCATCCTCTTGGAGCTTATGGTCTGAAGATATGGTTTACTGAATGCCAGAGAGGAAAGTAAAGGAGGGGATGGGCAGCCAGGGAAGGCCTAGGAGAATGTGACTTCTCAGTTAAAAAAGGTGGAGCAGCAAGGCATGAGACTATCTAGAGGAAAGAAGATTCCAGGCCAAGAGACCAGCAAGCAGTGGAATGATCCCTGTGTCAGCCCGATCTCAAAGTAGAGAAATGCTGAAAACCACAGAGCCACCAAACCTACCAGGAAGCCGGGCTTCTGCCTCTTGCTTATCACCCCTGTTTTGGGGGCTGAGTTCCAAGATGATAATAAGAGCTAGTGCTTGTTAACAATTTACTATGTGCTATTGAGTAATTTACCATGCAGTTTTCTAAAGCAAAAAGCCAGACGATTGTTGTCAAGCCGATTCAGTGTCATGAACATATCCCATATGTTCTAGAGTAGAACATGAGGTCTTCATGGGGGTCATCTCCATGGAAAGAAATTGCTCAGCTTTTCTTTCTTGGGGTAGGTATGAATTACCAGTCTTTCTGTTGGTAGCCCAGTATGAACAATTTGTGCCACTCAAAGACAGGGACTCTTGTAGGTCCTACAGATTACTAGTTTACTTAATCCTTACAATAACTCTGAGCTCTGGTAACCTAGTGGGTAAAGAGTTGTGCTGCCAACTCAAAGATGCACGTTTTAAATCTACCAGATGCCCCTCTGGAGAAAAATGGGCAAAGCTCCTTCTGTGCGATTTACTGTCTTTGAAAACTCACTGGAATCAACTCTGAGTTGTTTCTGACTCAGTAGGCACATAACAACAACAAGAATGCAACAATCCTGTGAAGTGGGAACTAATTCTTATGTTACAGAAGAGGAAGGAGTGCTGGTGGAACAATTATTAAGTGCTTGGCTGCTAACTAAAAGGTCTGCAGTTTGAATCTCCCAAAAGCTCCTTGAAAACAAAGATGTGGCAATCTGCTTCCATAAAATGACAGCCTTGGAAATATGTGGGGAAATTCTGCTCTGTCTTGTAGGCTCACTGTTGGGGACAGAATTGTTTTCACCCAAAATATAATTCTTAACCTGTGTTCCTTTGATTTTAATCCCATTTGGGGATGTGTTGTCTTTGTTGTGTTAATGAGACAGGATTAATAAAGGGTTCTAAATCAATCTCTTTTGAGATATAACAGATTAAATCGGTAAATGAGAAAAGCAAAGATAGGGTAAAAGAGATCCAAAGACATAGGATCTCCAAGGAAGCAGGAAGCAGAAGCTGGAAACAAGGACCTTCCTGTGCTGACAGAGAGAAAGCCTTTCCCCTGGAACTGACTCTGAGTTCACACTTCTAGCATCACAAACTGTGAGAAGATAGATTTCTACTTGTTAAAGCTACCCATTTTCGGTTATTCCTGCTATAGTATTAATATATAACTAAGCCACTAGGAATCAGAATCAACTCAATGGCAAGGGAAAAACTGTTTCCTATAAAAAAGGAAACAAAGGTTAAGGACCTCCTTGCACAGGGTCATATTATTGTCGTTAAGTGCCATCAAGTCGAGCACAACTCATAGCGACCATATGAACAGAAGATCTGAACCCTGCTCTCTGTCCTGCGCCATCCTCACAATTTCCGACACACAAGAGCCCATTGTAGCAGTAACCGTATCAGTCTACCTGATTGAGGGTCATCCTCTCCTTCGCTGACCCTCCACCCTTCCCAGCATCATGTCCTTCTCCTAGCAAAACATCTAAAAGTATGTGAGGCGAAGCCTCATCATTCCTGCCTCTGAAGAGCACTCCAGCTGCACCCTCTCTAAGATATATGTGTTCGTTCCTTTGGCCGTCCATGGGATGTTCAGTGCTCTTCTACACACCACAGCTCAAAGGCGTCAATTCTTTTTCCGTCATCCTTATTCATTGTCCAGCTCTCGGATGCATAGCAAGTAATTGGAAAGACTATGGCCTGAATCAGGCCCAGGGTCATATCTACTGTCTTTTTGTTGTCTCTTCTTCACTCTACTGCTAACAGAAAGCTTGAGGGTTCAAAACTACCAGCTTCTCATTCCTCAGATCTCAGCCTTGAAAACATGACAGGGCAGTTCTACCGTGTCCTCGACTTGCCATCAGACGGTATCAACCCTACGGAAGTGAATTTTTAAGCCGTTGTAGGACTCAAGTATTTCAGGGATTGTAAGGATGGCATAGGATTGGACAGGGTTCAGATCTACTGTCAGTATGGTTACTATGGGTTGTACTTGACAGCACCAAACAACAGTAGTGCAGTGGGTAGCACAGATTTAAACATTTAGCTGCTAACTAGGTTAGCAGTTCAAATGAAGAGGTGCCTCCGAGAAAAGACCTGCCTATCAATTTCCAGAAGATTACAGTTATTGAAAACTTTCCAGCACAGTTCTATTCTGAACACAAGGGTGTTTCGGACCTGACTCAATGGCAACTGATTTGGTATTTTTAAAAAACACTTGGGGAGAACCCCAACAAAACATTTGGGATTAACAATCTAGAACAAAACATGCATTACAGAGTAAACTGGGGGAGAGGTAGGGAGGAAAATCTGTACCGATGAATGAATGAAAGCCCAACCTCTCTGTAAAGTTTCACTAAAATCACAATTAAAAAAAAAATACTTGGTACATGATAAATGTTTAATAAATGGCAGCTACAGAGATCAGGATGATAATGATTCTGGGTGATCTGTAAGGCTCAGTCAAGCTTTAGGCCTCTGCAGTTCTTAGCTTAGACAGGCCTATCCTCTTGGTAGCGTTCTGCACACAGCTATACCTCCGTGGGCTCTAGGCTGGCCACTTATGGTTTCGGAGGGTGGCAGGCCTCACCAAGTAGCTGAAACCGAACCTCTGCTCTGTTCTTCTGTGCAGGACTGCTGCCTCATGGAGGAAGAGACCATTTGAGCCTTCACAAAGCAATTAGTTGAGCTAGTGGGGATTGGGGGGGGGGCTTTCTTCATTATGGACATAAGATGTGATATAATGGTCAGGAATGCAGACTTTGGAGCCAAACTGCCTGTGGTCACATCCCAGTCCTGCTATCATCAAGTTGTAAGTCCTTGCACAAACTACCTAGCATATTAGATTCTGACAGTCTTTAAAATGGTCTGCAGATGGCTGTTTTTGAAGGGTGATTGTTATTTGTTGCTATGTGCTGTGGACTCCGCACAGCACAACTCCTTACCTCTGGGTCTCCAGAGCTCCCTTTGTGAGTGGTGTTGGTGAGGAACTCATAAATGACCCAGTACATGTGAAGCACTGCTGTAGGTGCCCCAGTGGGCCTGCATGGCCCTTTTGGAAGGGAATGAGAGGACTTGTTCCTCCACTTTGCAAGTAGAACTGACCAGCCAAGTGGTGAATGAGGCCTTTTCTCTAGGATTCCCAACCTATTCATAGTCCAATGACTCCAGGACTAAGAGGAGCTCTGGTGGCTTAGTGGTAAAGAGTCGGGCTGTGGGGCTTAGTGGTAAAGAGTCGGGGGTTTGTACTCACCAGCAGCTCTGTAGAAGAAAGGTAAGTAAGCTCCTCGTGTGTGATTCAGAGCCTCTGAAAACCTGCTGGAGGGCCAGCTGTGAATTCCGACCCAATAGCTCATAACAACATCGAACTAACACTTAAAACCTGATTCTCATCCTTTTTACCACCCTCCTTCTTTTCCACATTTGGACCCCATTGTTGTTATTTGGTACTATTGAGTCAGAATCAAGCCACCTACCACCAGAGTTTCCTTTGGAGTTCACAGGTGGCACAGGTAAGTGCTTGAACTCACCTGGAGATGCCTTCAGAAGTAAGGCCTGGAGAAGGCACCCCTTTCTGAAATTTATCAGCCACCAAACCCCTGCAGCGCAGTTTTACACTGCACACGGGTGTGTGCAGCGTGCGTAGGACTGGCAGGTTTCCCTTCTCATTCAGAAGAAGGGTCTTTTGGGGAACGTGAAGTAGGGTAAATGTGGAGGGAGGACTTGCCGTGGAGATAATGTGAGAAATGGAAAAAGAATATTGGGGCGGGGGGGAAAGATGGGAATTCTACAAGCAATTCCTGATACAGGACCCCTCTGAACACATGTGACCCAGAGCAGTCAGAAGGCAGCCCTGGGAGAAGGTGGCTGACAGCTCAGCTCTAAAGTTAGAGATCCGGACCTGTATTACCAGGACACTGTGACTCTGTGACTGTATGTTTCTGAAACTCAGATCTTCAGCTGAGGAATGGGGACAGCAGGACGCAGCCTGCAGCCAGCACTGTCCCTAGGAAAGGAGACTGCTACACATCGTGGTGGGTGGTCCGCTGTTCCTTCTGGATAAGCCTCCAAGCAGAAGGGGAAGTTGCCATCCTGCCCGTTTTTAAACCAGCCTTGAGGCCACCTGGTTGCAGAGCACAGAGTTTCATCCCTTCTGGTCTGGTGACCGTCCAGTGTCCTCCTGTGACTGGAGCGAGCAATGTGTGTGTCTGAGTTGGTAGTCTTCAGTGGTCATATGGCACCCAGACCAGAATTCTCTCTTTCATGGGGAACATCTGGGGAGGTCCTCTCTTAATTTTAATATCTAGTAAGTTGGGCCAATAAGATAAGTTCATGTAAATATATTTTGATATGTAAATGATACCACTGTGACGAAAGACAACGTGCAAATATTTTGTTGCCTTTGAGACCCTAAAATGGTCCAAAGGAAATTAGAGTGATGACAGGCGCCCAACCGCCCCAACCTGTGAGTTCCTGGGCCTGGGCCTGGGCCTGTGAGCCGGGGCTTGCGGGTGTCCTGTTTTGCGCAGTGAGTCGGGAACGTACCAAGTATCTTGTTGCTGTACTTGTCCAGGGCTTTGCAATCCACTGTGTGACCTCCTAGGACCGCTTCACAGTGGCTAAGCAAATAACCTGACCGAGGCCCCGCCTGCACAGGGAGGGGTCAGCGTCTGCAGAGCTCGTGGGCCCCCACCTCTGCACCAATGCCCACCTCCTGGGGTCCTTTCCTCCTACCTTTCCTTCCTGGGAACACAGCCCCCCCATCCCACCCCCAGCTCCTCTAGGTTCCCCCACCCCTGATGTGGCTTCTGTTTCTCCACAGAAGAGAGAGGCCCAGCAGAAGGGGCTCACTGACCTCCACCCCGCTTCACTCCATGGTGGCTGTGCTATCAGGTAAGCCCATGTCCAAAAGCCTGCAGCCGGGAGACACTGGCCCCGAGGCCACTAGCCAGCGAAGCAGCCATTTTGTCTGGCCAGAGAGTCCCCTGAGATGGTTCTAGGTTAGTGGGGACTTCCTCTGCCCTGTGATGGCCAGCATCTTCCCACCTGTCACCTCTCTAGTCTTTTCCTTTGAAGGTCATGACCTCTTGACCTTCACTGTGACCTAAGGTTTCCCAGGCTCCCTTTTAGCCCCCATGTTGGTTATTGGCCAGAACTGGGCAGCTGGAACTTAATCCCTGACTGTCACCTGAAGTTGCCCAGCCCCCTGTAGTCTCCTCGCATCATCTGGCACACCCCCCTGACAGAGGCCCTTTTCAGGCATCCTCCCTGCCCCAGGACCCCCCTCCCTGCCCTGCTCCCTTCTTACTCTGCTTCTCCTGATTTAGGCTGGCGCCATGCCGCCCCCTGCAGAGGTGACGGACCCGTCCCATGCTCCTGCTGTCCTGCGCCAGCTCAATGAACAGCGGCTCCGGGGACTCTTCTGTGATGTCACCCTCATAGCTGGAGATACCAAGTTCCCTGCACACCGCAGTGTCCTGGCTGCTTCCAGTCCCTTCTTCAGAGAGGCCCTGCTTGCTTCTGCCCCTCTGCCCCTCCCACCTGTTACTGGGGACTTGAACACAAACCCCGCCTCTAACACAGCTGCTGCAGCCTCCTCTTCCTCTTCTTCTGCCTCCCCTCCTCCAGCCTCCCCCTCTGCTTCATCCCCACCTCGGGTCCTGGAGCTTCCAGGGGTCCCAGCCGCTGCCTTCTCTGATGTCCTCAACTTCATCTATAGTGCACGACTTGCACTGCCTGGTGGGGGAGGCGATGGGGCAGCTGTGGCCGAAATTGGAGCTCTGGGAAGACGACTGGGCATCTCCCGCCTGCAGGGCCTTGGGGAGGGAGACGATGCCTGGGTCCCTCCCGCCTCCACTCCCTTGGCTTCCTTACAGCCTGAAGAGGACAGCTTTGGGCCTGGAAGCAGGCCAGCTGAAGAGTGGGAGGGCGATGGGGCCGAGTCCCAGGGTCTTGACTCGCAGCCCACCCTGTCACGGCGGCTTCTCCCCTGCCCCCGATGTGGAAAGAGTTTCATTCATCCCAAGCGACTGCAAACCCACGAGGCTCAGTGCCGCCGAGGAGCTGGCACTCGGGGGTCTGCAGGCCTGGGAGCTGGGAGCTCTGGCCCTGGGGGTCCTGCAGGAGTGGATGCCTCAGCCTTGCCTCCACCAGTGAGCTTCCGAGGTGGCCCTGAGCACGTGGTGAAGGTGGTGGGCGGCCATGTACTGTACGTGTGTGCAGCCTGCGAGCGCTCCTATGTGACCCTGTCCAGCCTGAAGCGGCACAGCAATGTGCACTCCTGGCGGAGGAAATATCCCTGCCGATACTGTGAGAAGGTGTTTGCCCTGGCTGAGTACCGCACCAAGCACGAAGTGTGGCACACGGGAGAGCGCAGGTGAGTGGCGTGAGGCCAGGGTGCAGAGTTGGCACTGCAGAAAAACCAGGGACCAAGCTTGGGAACAACTAAGACACAGGAGTGAATGAGCTGAGCGTTGGGCCCAGAATGTCACCCTGCCCATTCATGGCTCTTTGGCTCACCCATTTATCTCCCTCCAGCCACCACTTCCTTTAGCTGATGTCTTTAGGCGCTGGCTCAACACTGTGGACAGGCAGAGGAAGAAAGAGTTGCCTTCGTGGCAAAGGAGAGTGTTTTAAGCCCAAGCCTATCCACCAATGTTGTTGTTGATTGCTATCGAGTTGAGCACGACTCATAGCGACGTTATGAACAAAAGACCTGAAGCCTTCCTATAACTATTGTCATTTATCAAGTTCATAGAGTTTCCAGAGGCATGTTGTTTAGGAAGTGGATGCCACTCCTGCTTCCAATAGTTAATAATATTCAGGACAGTCTCAGATTTCAAAATGTATCCTTGTTCTTAAAACAGAGTCCCTGGGTGGTACAAATGGATAAGCTCTTAGTTGCTAACCAAGAGAAGTCATTCTCTGCATTTGGGTTCATGCAGAGGCAGTTTGGAAGTAAGATCTGGAAATCTACTTACTTAGAAAAAAAGCCAGTCACTAGGGGAGCTCTGGTGGTCTAGTGGCAAGAAGCTGCACTGCAATCCCAGAGGTACACAGTTTGAAACCACCAAATGCTCTGCTGGAAAAGGTGGGGCGATCTCCTCCTGTACCAGTCAGATCCAATTTGATGGTACACACACACAAAATAATAATTTTTTTTTTTTAAAAAAAAGGCAGTCACTGAAAACCCCTCTGTGCACAGTTCTACTCTTTTTTTTTTTTTTTTGTTCAATGGATGTTTAGCACAGTTCTACTCTTGACACTTGCAGGACCACCAGGGTTGGAATCAGTTCTAAGATGTTTCTCCTCTCTGTAATTTGTGCTTAAAAAAATATTTGTGAGCTAGGTGGTGGTTGTTGTTAGGTGTTGTCTAGTCAAGTTTGAGTCCTAGCAACCGTATAAATAGAAGATCGGAATCCTATCCTGTCCTGTGCCATCCTCACAATCTCTTGACACACTTGAGCCCAGTGCAGCAGTCACCATGTCAATCCCCCTAGTCGAGGGTCTTCCTTTTCTTCATTGACCTATCTTTCCAGTTAGGGTATGTGATTATTCTCCATTCATAGATGGAACAGCTGAGGCCTAGAGTCTCAATGCTGATGAGGAGCAGAGGCAAGACTGGCACCCCTCCTAAGGGTTGGCAGGATGGGAGGAAGGAGATATGATGGTGTGTGTGGGATAGTAGTGGAAAATGTGGGACGTTGAAGCTCTCTGACTTTAGGGCGCCATACTCATGTGTCTCTGTTCTGGCCCGATCTGCTGTCCTGGCCCAGGTACCAGTGCATCTTCTGTTGGGAGACCTTTGTAACTTACTACAACCTGAAGACCCACCAGCGAGCCTTCCATGGCATCAGCCCGGGCCTCTTAGCCAGTGAGAAGACACCCAACGGAGGTTACAAGCCCAAGCTCAACACCCTCAAGCTCTACCGCCTGCTCCCCATGCGGGCAGCCAAGAGGCCCTACAAGACCTACAGCCAGGGAGCCCCAGAGACCCCAGCTTCTCCAGGCCTTGAGACAGCAGCACCTGCAGCAATTCCAGCTAGTCCACCTCCAGGACCCGCCCCCGCCCCAGAGCCTGGGCCTCCACCTTCGGTCATCACATTTGCCCACCCAGCTTCCTCTGTCATTGTCCACGGGGGCAGCAGCAGTGGCGGAGCAGCAGCTGGCCCACCCAACACAGGAGCCGCCCAGGCTGCCTCAGTCATCACTTACACAGCTCCCCCGAGACCCCCCAAAAAACGCGAGTACCCACCTCCTGCTCCTGAACCTGCAGCCACAGCAGCCAGCCCCGCCACAGCAGCCAGCCCCGCTGTGGCAGTGGGGCCAGCCACGGCCACTGACGAGGCCAAGGGCCAGAATCCACGACCCGGGAGGACACTGACCTACACAGCCAAGCCGGCTGGCGGGATGAGCGGTGGGGGTTCCCCTGCAGGGCCTGGCCGGGGCCCCTCTCAGCTGCAGGCACCCCCTCCACTGTGTCAGATCACTGTGCGCATTGGGGAAGAGGCCATCGTCAAGCGCCGCATCTCAGAAACTGACCTTCGTCCTGGGGAGCTAAGCGCAGAGGATGGTGAGGAGAGTGAGGAGGACGAGGAGGAGGACGAAGAGGATGAGGACGACGAAGAGGAGGAGGATTCAAAGGCTGGCGGGGAAGATCAGCTCTGGAGGCCCTACTACTCGTACAAGCCTAAGCGCAAGGCCGCAGCCACCGGTTCAGGCAGTGGGGGCAGCGGGGTGGTCAGGGGTCGGCGCCCACCGCGCTGGAGACAGAAGCTGGAGCGGAGAAGCTGGGAGGAGACCCCAGCAGCCGAGGGCCCTGCAGGACGTACCCGCAGCGAGCGGAGACACCGATGTGGTGACTGTGCCCAGACGTTCACCACCGTGCGGAAGCTGCGGAAACACCAGGAGACCCACAGCAGCGGCGCCCACAGCTCCCGGACCAGCAGGAAGACGTCCAGCCGCTTCACCTGCCCTCAGTGCGCCAAGGTGTGCAAGACGGCGGCAGCCCTGAGCCGCCACGTGCAGAGGCATGCTGCCGAGCGGCCCGGGGGCACCCCCACGCCCGTCATTGCCTACTCCAAGGGCAGTGCCTGCACAAGGCCAGGGGACGTCAAGGAGGAGGCCCCTCAAGAGATGCAAGTGTCCTCATCCAGCGGGGAGGCGGGGAGCGGGAGTGCCGCCGCGGAGGAAGCTTCAGAGACCGCCTCTGTTCAAGACCCCGTCATATCTGGGGGTGAGGAGCCCCCAGCAGTGGCAGGAGGGGGCAGCTACTCCTACCCACCTGTGCAGGAGTTTCCACTGGCTCTGATTGGGAGTGGCCGTGAAGCTGGCAGCGGCAGGGGGAAAGCTGGGAGTGAGGGGCCAGTGGGGGCTGGGGAAGGGGACCGGGTGGAGGGGATGGGGGCTGCCAAAGTTACCTTCTACCCTGAGCCCTACCCACTGGTCTACGGCCCCCAGCTCCTGGCCGCCTACCCTTACAACTTCAGCAACCTGGCCGCCCTCCCAGTCGCGCTCAACATGGTCCTACCTGATGAGAAGGGTGGGGGAGCCCTTCCCTTCTTACCAGGGGTCTTTGGCTATGCAGTGAATCCTCAAGCAGCACCCCCTACTCCCCCACCACCAGCTCCTCCAACGCTTCCTCCCCAAATTCCTCCAAAAGGAGAAGGAGAAAGGGCAGGGATTGAAAGAACCCAGAAGGGAGATGTGGGGTGAACTCAAGGCCAGTTCTCCCCTCTCACCAGATGCTACCCTCCCTGAACCCCACCACCACTACTAGCACCCTGGCCTCCCTGCCCCTTGGGAGCCCCTCCATACTCTTGTGCAGGGACTTGGGGGGCCCCTGGGGCATAGGGGTCAGGCTGCTTTGTGTGAGATTGTAGTTTTCCCATCTCTTGGGAAGGGATCTTTGATGGTTCCCGTCTCAATTCTCCTCCAGGGAGTAGCCTCCTAAGGGGCAGGGCAGCCCCCCAGCCCTTCTCTAGCCCTGGGGCAACTGAGCAATATACTTCTATGATCTCCACTCACAGCCCCCACCAGCTCTGAATGTCAAACCCTGCACACCTGATTCTTAAACCCAGAGGGAAATCATCTCTCTTACCCAAGGGTCCCACCTAGTTCTGAAGCTCTCCTGAGGACCTTACCCAGACGCTTCCTAGCACATTCCAGTCTTGTTTCTTCTTCCCATTCACTGCTCTCCCCATGTGAGAGGGTGGTGAGGCCCAGGACCTGGACCAGACCATTGTGATGCCTGAACCCCACCCACTTGGGGACATGGCTTTGGATTCCATTGTTCCCAGGATGGGTGTCTGTATCCCTGTATTTTCCATGTTAAGATGCCATGCTTTCCTTGGCTTCCATGCCTTTGAATCTTCCATACTGCTGGACTTCTGAAAAAGCCCCTCCCAGTCCCATTCAGGAGGTGGTGTAGGGAGGGCTATCCATCTGTTCTATGGCTGAGCACTTTCCTAGCCCAGGGCAGGACCAGTCTTGGCCCTGTCTTGACCCCCAAATCCAGTGAGCCCCAGATTCTTCCAGGGCAAAAGAAGTGAGTGTATCACACTTCTTCCTGCCTCTAGCTAGATAAGGCCTCTACTGGGCTAAACCAGATTTGGAAGCCACAAGGGAGAAGCTCCACATGGAATGGGGAAGAGAATCTACCTGCTCCCTGTTTTTTCCTCATGCTTTCTCCCAGACTAGACCAAATAGCCAGAAAAATGATGGGGGCTGGATGGGTGGGTGAGCCCAAGATTTGCACATGACCTCCCATCCTCACCATTACCCCCATCTTCTCTCATGTCACTCCCCTCATCAGTCACTCCAGATAGTTTGTGGGGAGCCACCCTACTTCCCCAGGTGGGCTTTGGGGTACCCCCACCAATTTTTCCTCCAAAATAGCACCTTACACCCCATCTTTTACTCAGTTTCCCACACCCAAAGATCCCAACCTAGGGATGGGATACAGGGGCCCTAAGTAGTCCCTAATCCCCAATTTGCACTAGTTAACTCTGGTCAGGGGTCCCTATATTTCCTTCGACTGGGGGAGATGAACAGTTTGTCTCTAATTCTCTAAAAACTAGGCCTCCTGACAGTCATTGGAGGAATACTTCCACCTTACTCCGAAAACAGAAAACAGCTCATATGGGGAAAGCCAGTTTGAACTTAGGGAGCAAATCTGACACATGGGTATTAGAGGAGTGCAGCTTAAAAAGATAAAAAGTTGTTGCTGCTGTCAAAATGCAGTCTTTTTTCCCAGCTACTGTTTTCTGGGGCCAAGATGGCTGACCTCTGAGTATCTGCTGAGAGGTCAAGATGATGGCTTCTGGAGGGAGGTGAGTTTGAGGGTGAGGCAGGAGCACCCTTCAGCTTCCTCTTGCCCTCCTAGCATTTGGGGTGGGGGGAGGTCTGGCAGACACCCAGAATGTTAACTAGGGAGGCCTGTCGCTCCATTCCCCTCACTTGTCTGCACTTTTCTTGGTCTTGGCCACAGCCTGAATGAAGAGTTTTCCTACTGAATGTACCAAGTTCCAATTTTTAATGGGGAAGAAAGTTTAAAACAAGGGACAATGCAAAAAAAAAAAAAATCACTTTAAAAAAAAAAAAGGTCCCACAAATCTTGTTTCTGGCACTTTAGAAAAACTGCGAAAAAAATACATAATAAAGAATACATATATATATATATATCTACACACAAATTATCTATCTATCTATATACAGCGGAACCACAAGAGAGACTGAGGAAGGCCTGGAGGCCCCGGGGCAAATGGGATTACTGTACTCTTATGTCCGTAGTCTGTACTCCTCCAGGGCAAAAAATAGAGGAGACAAGAGGCTGAAGAGGAACTGGGGAGTTTGAATTTCAGAGCAGGTAAAAATTTTTAAAAAAATGGATATTTTGGGAGAACAGAGATTACAGGCTTTTTAAAAAAAAACAAACCACCAAACTGATTTAGGAAAATAGTTTTCAGAATATGATGGTTCTGTACAACATATGAGATTGTAGCAAAGTGGAGATTATGTGTATTTGAACTGGGGCAGTGTGAATTTCAGATGTTGGGAATTTGGGGATTTTGCAACTTCATCTTTTGAAAACTATCAGCTCTGGTCAGTTTGTACTCTTTCCCCATGTTCCCTGGGAAGAAGGGTTTTGGCAAAGTGGGAAGGCCGCTGGTTCTGTGACACAGCACGCAAGATTTAGAATTCTAGACTCTAGCTGTCTATGTAGTGAGGACGCAGATGTAGAGAAACTGACCGGTATTTATCTCCGCATTTGTGTGTGTGTCCAACTCTCTAGGCCAATAAACCAACAAGACAAAAGAACTGTGCTCCGCAGCAGGGTCCCAGGTGCGATTATTTGTGTGGCTGGTGGGCCTGGTGTTCGTGCTAGCTTTATCCCACAGGAATCTGTGAGTTGCAACTTTGTTCTTTCCTTTAGGACAGCTTCTAGAAGTTGACTAAATATGAGGACCTGTTAACAGCAGGTACATCAAGCTACTGCTACAGCCATTAGGCTTAAACTAACTTTGGCCCAAACTTGTAGTAGAAACAACTCCATTCCATTGACAACACCTGCTTAGCACATGTGCTGGGCCCAGACTCTGTGTTCTAGGAAAGCCATGTGTTTAAGTCTCCCTTTCAGCAAATCAAGAGGAAACTGAAGATAAGGGCTTTTTTTCACTCTTAGCCTTCCCATTGACTTCAACTCCTTGTTGCTCACTTTCTTCCCAAGTATATTTTCCAGTGAAGGGTGGACAGAAAAGAGTGGACTCAGGTTAGGTGAGGGTTTTGAGGAATTAGGACAATAGTAGTCACAAGCCAGCTTTTAACAGGTTGTCAATAAAGAACCCATGCCTAGTGTTACAAATGTTTTGAAACGTTTTTTTCAACTCAGAAATCCAAATTCTCAATGAGATATTCCAATTGCAAAAGGTAGCCAACTAAATAAAGTTTAATATGCTCACTCTGGGCCAGAGCTTTAGTGGTCTAGTGGTCAGAAACTGCACTGCAATACCCAAAACACACAGTTTGAATCCACTAGCTATGTCTTTTACTGTCTCTGAAAACCTGTTGGAGGGTCAGCCAAGAGTCTGTTCTGACTTGATGGTACACAACAACCACCATGCGCCAAGCCAAATACAAGTTTTGTGACTGATAAAATATACTGTATAGTGCTTCACCAGTTGTTACGAGGCCTTGAGTTAGAGTATGAATCATAGCAAGCAACCTATGAACAACGGATCTGGACCTTATCCTATCTTGCACCGTCCTCATCATCTCAGAGTTGAGTAGAAGATACCATTATTTGCTTCATTTTACAGATAAGGAAACTGAGGAATAGCAGTTTCAGCGGCTTGTCCAAGATTTGAGCACTAAAGCTGGAACTTGATTTTTTTTTAATGAGAAGCTTTTGTAAAAAGTTTTCCCTAATTAAAAGTACATGGTTTCAAAAACTTATTTTTTTAGCCTAATAATACTCATCACAGAGGAAAAAATTACAGCAAACAATGTTTTCGGAAATAAATTATGTATTGCAATGGAAAAACAAAACAGAAAGGCAAAAAGAAAATGTGGCCACTAGTTGCAATAGGCAAAGAAAAGCCCTACTAATACTAAATCGGTGTGTTTTTCCAGATATTTTTTCTTTAATTCCGTAAATTCTTGGTAAACACCTACTCTTAAGTACTATGCTGGTGGCATTAAGGCAATCAGCCCAGTTCCTGCCATTCCTGCTTCTTGTTCTTTGACCCATTTCATCCGAGATCCAAGTGTTGAGACCCCGAAAGTCTCTAACTTCAGAAGCAAGCCCAATCAATGCTGCCTTCTGTCTGAGCCCCACTCCACCTTCTTCCCCAGGGAAAGTATGAGAGAGAGCTGTGTTCCTAGTGGAAGAGTTAAGAGGACTCTAGGAGGCTGAGTTGACTCTGGCCCAGTACCTTGGGTCTGGGCCTTCCTGTCCTCAAGGAAAGGGGTCGGAAGGAGGCAGGTGGTATGTGGCGTCCAAGAAGATGACGAGGGTCCCGACGCTCGTGAAGATGATGAAGGTCCACAAGAAGAGGCGGTCCACTACCATGGCCACAAACTGCCAGTCCTCTTTCAGCTGGAGGCAGACAAAAGAGATTAGTTTTGAGCTCAGGGCCACAGATACCAAGATAAGCATCTTTCAAATACCCAGAGGAAAAAAGAGGGAGCTGCTGCGTAACAGGGGGCAAAACAGCGATCAAAGGACAGGGGTGGAAAACTTCTCCTAGCCGAGGGAGGTGCGGAAAGAGGAAGACCTCCAATGAGAAAGGAGACCAGAGTCAGGGTGGAGCCAAAGTCACCCAGGTTTTCTAACCAGCTTTGCCCACGCTCACTGGGCTTACCGCATCGTGGTCCTCCTGCTCCTCCAACTGTCGAGCGATGTAGCTAATGGAAGAAACGACCTCCCGGAGCTCAGGGGGCAAGCCTACTGTCCGGCTGGGGCCGTCGATAAATCGCCGCAGGTCAGAGGCAGTCAGTTCAGCCTGGAACCTGCCAGAGGGCGCAAAGACAAGCAAAGCCAACGCTTCGCTTCTAAGCTCCACCCTAACTCCTTTCTCCAACCCCGCACCTGTTCTAAAATCCCAAAAAGGCCCTTTAGACTCTCCCTGACTGCGGCAACCTTCGGCAAAACCTCGCCTGCCTTCGATAACTCCTTCCACCCCTCTACGTTTTAGTTTCCACTGTCCCACAAAGTGGACAGCTGAAGGGGTACTCCAACTCCCATGATGCTCATCCACAGCATCTTCTGGGAAACATTAGGCTCATTTTCGCAAGGTCTTCTGGGAAGTGTAGTTCCCCTAGCTCTCCCTGTTTTATGAGGGATGGATAGATATCTGGATATACCTGTTGAGTCTGGGACAAAGAAAATCACTCGGCGGTTTCCGGATGAAATATTCATCTGTTCCTCTACCCCAGCCACTTCCTGGGGAATCTCTAAGGGCTAAAGGAAGGGGCTCCAGCATCTGGTCTTTGTCAGGTTTGGGCCTCTTTAGACCCAGGTACCGAGGAAGCTTGAGGATGAAAATCTGCAGAGGAAATTTGAACTGTGTCCTCAGGCTTTCAGACCAGAAGGGAAGCAGCCAGCCACAAGCCCACCATTTTCCAATTCCTGAGTCTGATTCCACAGAGCTACACAAACAAGGAAGAGGCACTACAGAGCCTTAATACTTCTTATTTTGAAGGTGCTGTGACTAGAGACCCCAAAGACTACCATTTTGGTATTACCCAACTCTGAGAATGTCTCTCTTATACTCAAAATGGATAATACTGATGAAGAAGTTATGGGAAACGGTAAAAGCATATCGATAGGAAGATAAAATTAACTGTGCCATGTCTTATCTGGACAAAACCCAAACAGCTAAGATTGAGCATTAACACAGAGGTGGGAGGGTGGCATCGCTCTAAGTGGCCCTTAGAACAGTAGATCTGAACCGTGTCTTGTCCTGCACCATCCTCATCGTCTCAGACATTGTGGAGTAGAAGATACCATTATTTGGTTCATTTTACAGATAAAGAAACTGAGGCACAGCACTTTCAGTGGCCAGGGTGGGAGAGAGCTCTTACCTGTCGAACCCAAAGAGGCATTTGGTGGGTGTGAGGTGAGCGGTGATGCAGATTGAGAACCACAACGCTGAGGATGACTGAGAAGGTGACGAGGACCATGGTGAACATAAGGTACTTGATAATGATGGGTACGGATAGGGAAGTCTCAGGCACTTTGTCTGCCAGCAGCAGCAGGAACACAGTAAGGGTCAGTAGGGCAAAGATCGAGAGCCCCATTTTCTCCCCTGGGGGTTCAGAGAGGTAAAAAAAGAGTTAGGCTTTGTCAGAAGGCAGTCTCTATGGCACAGTCAGCAACTGGTTCCAGCTTTCCCTGGTGTTTAGAAAAACATCTGCATACAAATGATTACTCCAAGTCCAAAGTCAAGACTATTCCCCTTGAAGTCCAGAATTAGCACCACCCAAATACCTAACCTCACCAAATGTCCATCTTAAAAAAGTGCACTGCCTGTTCAGTTCATTCCGACTCATAATGACTTCCTAGGCCAAAGCAGAACTGCACTGAAAGGTTTCCAGGGCTGTAAATCTTAACGGAGTAGACTGCTGCTTCTTCTTTCTTCTGAGGAGCAGTTATTGGGTTCCAACTGTTGACCTCTTGGCTAGCAGCTATACTTCTTTACCACAGCACCACCAGACATCTCAAATGTAACATGTCTCCAACCCGCAAATATTTTCCCCCTCCCCTAGTCTTCACCATCTCACAAATGACAACTCCCTCTTTCTTGGGGTTTAGATCTAAACCTTTGGTTGTTGTTATTATTGATTGCCATCGAGTCGAGCACAACTCATAGTGCCCCTATGAACCAAAGGTCTGAAGCCTTCCTATAACCATCATTGTTTCTCCAGGTTCATAGAGTTTCCAGAGGCATGTGGTTTAGGAAGTGGATGCCACTCCTAGAGTCATCCTCAATTCATAGTGCAAGGTTCAGGTCTATTGTGCATTGAGTAGCTGTGAGTCATAGTTGACTCAATGGCACCTAACAACAGCAACATTCCATATGCAATCTATAACAAACTCTATTGACTCATCCTTCAAAATATATTCTGAAACTAATGACTTAACCACCTCTACCACTACCACTGGGACCCAAACACCATTACCTTACGTGCACATTATTACTTAAGACCTCCTAACTGTTCCCCTTACTTCATCTTCTTTTGCAGACTTTTCTCTACTGATCTTATTAAAATGTAAGTCAGATTATATCACTCCTTTCCTCAAAATCCCTGTAGGACAGCAAAAAAACAAATGCTGGCAATGTTGCAGAGAAACTGGAACCCTTATTCACTGTTGGTGGGATTGTAAAATGATGCAACCACTGTGGCAGGCAGTATGGTGCTTTCTCAAAAAGTTGGAAATAGAAATACCATTTGACCCAGTAATTCAACTACTGGGAATATACCCCAAAGAAACCGTAACTGCCACTCAAGCAGATATATGCACATGCTTATTGTGGCTTTGTTCACAATAGCAAAGAGTTGGAAACAACCCAAGTTCCCATCAAGAAACGAATGGATAGAGAAGCTGTGGCATATTCACACAATAGAATACTATCCTGCATTGAAAAACAAGGATCTCATGAAATATTGTACAAAATGGGTGACTCTGGAGGACATTATGCTGAGTAAAATATCTCAGTCACAAGAAGACAAATACAGCATAGCGCCATTGTTATAAAACAGGACTGACATGGGGATTGGGGAGAAACTAAGAAAAGGGGATAAATAACCTACAGAGCATTGAAACAGACAAGAGAGAAAACTGTATAAAAGGAATATATGATTAGGTATTATTGGCATGCAAAGAATCCAGAATAAGAGCTGCATAGTAAAGTGGTCTGGGGTGGGGGTGGGGGTCTGTATAATAATGAAAGAACTTTTTTCCCCAAAGAAAAAAGTGATCTGAGGGGGAAGGGGGCAGGGAGGAAAATGTGCAGCAATGAACGGTTGGAAACCCAAGTTCTTTATAAACTTTCGTTGTTTTTGTTGTTATGTGCCATCAAGTTGTTTGTGACTCATAGCGACCCTATGTACTACAGCCCTAAACCCTGCTCTATCCTGTGCCAGTCGCATTGCCTCTGACACACCCATCCCAATTACCCCAGTCACTGAATCAATCCACCTCATAGAGGGTCTTCCCCTCCTGCACTGTCCCTCTACTCTACCCAGCATGATATCCCTCTCTATAAAGACCTGTCTCTCCTTACAACATGTCCAAAGTATGTCAGACGAAGCCCCAGAATCCTTACCTCCAAGGAGTAGCCTGGTTTAACCCTCTCTAGGATGAATCTGTTTTCTTGGCAGTCCATGGTACATTCAATACTCTTCTCCAGCACCACAGCTCAAAGGCATCAATTCGCCTTCTATCCTCCCTAGTCATTGTTCAACTCTCTGATGCATAACAAGTGATTGCAAAAACCATGGCCTGTATCAGGCGGACCTTAGTCTCCAGAGAGACACCGTTGCTCTTGAGTACTTTAGAGAGGTCCCTAACAGCAGAGTTTCCCATCACAATACGTTTTTTTATTTCCTGGCTGCTGGTGCCAAGAGTGTTGACTGTGGAGCCAAGCAAACTGAAGCTGTGAACAATCTCAATCTCTTCGCCATCCATCCTGATGCTACTGATTGGTCCAGTGGTGAGAATCTTTGTCTTCTTGACATTGAGCCTCAGTCCATACTGAATGCTGCAGTCCTTGACCCTCTGCAGTAAGTGCATGAGGTCCTCCTCAGTTTCAGGGAGCAGGGTTGTGTTATCTGCATAACGCAGATTGTTGATAGATCGTCCACCAATCCTAACGCCACGCTTCTCCTCATAGAGCCCAGCCTCTCAGATAATCTGCTCTGCATACAGGTTGAAAAGGTATGGAGATAGGACACATCCCTGGCGTACACCCTTCCCAATTTTGAACCAGGCAGTGTTGCCCTGCTCTGTTCTGATGATTGCCTCTTGGTCCAAGTATAGGTTTTGCATTAGCACAATTAAATGTTCTGGGATTCCCATTCTTCTCAGAGTCAGCCACAGTTTATTATGATCCACGCAGTCAAATGCCTTTGCATAATCAATGAAAAACAGATAAACATTCTTCTGGTATTCTCTGCTTTCAGCTAAATCTCAATTTTAAAAAAAATTCCTTTATGAGCCCAAACCTGATTATGATCTGGGCCTTCACATTCTCTCTGACTTCATCTCCTACTCTTTCCCCCTTCCTTACTTTTCAGTATATCTGCCTTGTTAAGATTTCTTTTTCAGTTAATTTTTTTTTATTTCTGTGAAGGCTTACAAAATAATTTTGGGTTTTTTTCACATAATCAATCATAGACATCTTGCTTTATAACATTATTTACCATTGATGAGTTAGCAAAAGATAAGAAGACCCTCAACAAACAGGATTGATGCAGTGACCCTAACAATGGGCTCAAGTAATGGTGAGGATGGTACAGGATAGGATAAATATCTGAAGTTCATAAAGTTGCTGTGAGTCTCAGTCAGCTCAGGGCATATAACAGTAACAACAATCAGTCTTTTAGCTCTTCAGTGTTTCTTAAACGCCCACATCAGGGCCTTTATATTCACTATTTCTTCTGCTTGGAACATTCTCTCAGATTATCTGCTTCGCTTATAATTGTGCCTCTTTTCCAGTCTTTGTTCAAATATTCATTTTCAGTGAGGCATCATTGTCTATATTCTTTTTTTAAAATGCAGCTCCTACCCTGATTCTAAGCCACTAGTTTCTTTCTTTTTCTGCTTAGCATTTGGCCTCTTCTAGAGTGAATCCTGTGAGAAATGGAGCTTGTAAGATAGCCTGGGTTTTCATGATCTGAGAAGTTTTCTACCTTTGACAGGGGGCGGCAGTCTTACCATTTTCTTATTTTTCTCTGTTAGTGGAAAATATTTCTGTTTTCCTTCCAGAATAGGTTTCTACCTTACACAGGTCCTGGCTTTCATGGGTTTTACTGTATCTGATAGACTTGGTTTTGTATATTTTCTTCGTTGACAGGTCCTAGCTGTTGTTCATGTGGTCACTTGACTCGACAGCACAAACAACAAGAAGCATATAATAGGTATACAACATTATAGCTAGTCCTAAAAAAAATTGTAAAGGGAGCTCTGGTGGCCTAGTGGGTAAGAAGTTGTGCTGCCAACTCAAAGGCAGGAGATTTGAATCTATCAGTTTCCTTGAGCAAGAATGACAGGCAGTCTCTTCCTGTGCAATTTTCAGCCTCTGAAAACTCACTGAAGAGTCAGCTGTGAGTCAGTTTCAACTCCACAGCAATGTCTTTAAGTTGTATTTTTTTGGGTGTTTTGGGTTTGGGTTTTTTTTTTCAGAATACAAAGAAAAGTTTATTGTACAAAATTAAGGCCTTCATACTTTAAGGCTCACCAGAGCTGAAGAAAGACAAGGTAATTATCTAAGTATTTCCACAAAGTTTACTTTCAATATGTCCCTTGCTCTCAACTATAAAATGGCCTGTCCAGAGTTATCAAAACAAATATAAATAAGTTCAAGTCCTTTAAGGAAGACTCCCCCAAGTGTTATTTCTTGGCATAAGTGATCTTCATGGCGTGGGATGGTGTGATCTTAAATCCCTGCAAAGCATCTCGAGCGGCACCAGCTTGCCCATCGTTTTCAAACTCAACAAATGTGATGTCATGCCTGCCAGGTACCAAGCGCACTTCCTTAAATCCAGGGAACTGATTAAACAGCATGGATAACATCATCTCATTAGTTTCTTTTGGTAAATTATTAAGGAATAAAATATAGTTTGGAGGTTAATCAGGGACCTGAGGACTTGGTGTTGAATTTCCTTGAGTAGTAGCTGAATTTGGTGTTCTCTGACCAGGTTTTTGTTTGTGGCTGCTGCAACCTATTCCACAGTTTTTGCTTTCTTTTTCTCTTTGTCAGCAAAAGTTCCATGCATTTTAGAAATACTATCAGAATCTGTTTTACGTATTGGATTCACATTGGTTTGCCATAAAACGGAAATGCCTGTAACTGTCTCAAAGCGTCTGTGGAGGAGCCAAGTTCTTTAAATATAACAAAAGCCTGTCCCCTCATCTTCATGGTCTTTAAAGCCACAATATCTACCACATGGCCAAACTGAGAAAACAGGACATACAAAGACCTCTTCAATTCTTCTTTTTTAATTTTGTCATTCATATTGTTGATATAAATTGTATGATTTGGTCTGATATCCATGCTTTCAGTTAAACTGTTCAAACCACCTGGAGCCTCTGTTTTGGGGTTTTTTAATACTTACTTTTTAAAATTATTATTATTTTATACTGTTTTTTTATAAAGTTCTTATACACTGTTTTCCACACCAGATCTTTCCACCTCCCTCCACCCAGCAAATCATGTGACCCTATGATTACCGCCCCCCACCCATCCTCAACCCTCTGCTCCTATGTTATGTTTTTTAAATGGTAAAAAATAATACCAACATTTAATTCCCACCATAGTTCTGTACAGTAATTGTTCCTATTTCCAGATCAGAAAACTGAGAAACAGAAATTTCCATGTTAATACATTATGCTGCCTAATAGAGAAATGTGGTTATTATTTCTCTGTGAAGTTAAGTGGGTATCTGGAAAGTGGGAGAGGAAGATGCTAGGGATAGAGGGAGGGGAAAAACAACCTAGGAGTTGTAGCGTTTGGGACAGTTTTCTTAGTCAGAAAAGAGGAAGTTTCAGACCCTGGGGCTCCAAAAGAAAGAATTTAAATGTTTCTCTTCCCAGCACAAAAAAACGAGTAGCAGAAAGGAGGCCGAGCCCATACTTAGATGCTTGATGGGAGAGAGAACCTGGGTCCTGATGAGTCTCTCTTTTTGAAAAAAAAACCTTGGTGGGATTCTAGAAGTACAACCATGGTAGCCTGGATTAGCAATAAAACCCTGTCAGAGTTCAAAGAGAAGAGGAAGGAGCTGAGCTACTGATGGGAAGGAAGGCAGGTCCCTTTTCCCTTCACCTGCATCTGGCGGGAGATAGAAGACAAAGATGGCCAGGAGAGTGATGAGGATGCATGGCGCAATGACGTTGACCAGGTAGAAGAGAGGCTTCCGGCGAATGATGAGATAGAAGGTGACTTCTTGACGCTGTCCTTCCCCACCTGCCCTAGAATCTCCCAGAGGCTGGATAAGCCTAGAAGGTTTATGGATAATCTCCCACTGGCCGTTTTCTAGGGAGAAAAAAACAGGTATGGGAGCTGTGTGGTTAGTGCCAGGCATGGCTTACTCTCCCATATCCTCCTCCTGAGGGCCTAGTGTGATAATGGGCTAGCTGTGGACACTGGGCTGGACAGTCAATCTCTAATCACTTTTTAATAAGTTCTATCTCCATATATGTAAAATGTAATCATAATCATCTTGTTGACCACTCAAGTTATATCAGGCATTGCTGGGTCTGTTAGGGATTGGAAAATGTGAGGCCCAGGGTCACGGACGATATGCCCACTCACCAATAAAAGTGCCTTCCTGAATGTTGATTTCCTGCCGATCTTGTCCATCAGCCCCCAGACCTGTCCACAGGACAACTTCTGAGCTGTCATAGTTGTAGGAACTGAACACCATGGTACAGTTCTGCCAGTCAAAGGGGAAGTAGGTAACCTGAGTGGAAGGGGAGGGGTGTTGAGCTGTAAGGGAACTACTGGGGACTGACCAGAGTTCAGAAGGTCATCAGAGAGGACACAGAGCAGAGGAGGGTCCTGGGAGTATAGAGATCATGGGAGGGGATCATAAAGAAATGAGGTTACAGGAAAATCTGCAGGTTATTAAGGGAGGGCACTGGGAAAATGGGAGTGGGGCAGTAAGAGAGGTAGATTGAGAGAGAGGTCAGTGAAAATGTACAGAGAAGATACAATTTTAAAAAAGCAAAAGAGCAAAAAACAAATGAGGGTTGTGAAGAATGATGGAGGAGGCATGGGATCCACTGGAGTGATCCTGAGTCTCCAAGGAAATGGAAGGTCTTCTCAGCCAGGGCCTGCATACCTGGATGCTGCAGCTGCTGCGATAAAGGCCCGGAGGCTGCCAGCGCACAGAACCATCAGAAGTCACCACGACGTTAATGTCCAGAGCGACGTCAAAATTCCCGTCATTGCTGCAGGGAATCAAGTCTGAAGTCAGGTCTGAAATCAAGTGGGGCCTGGGCAAATCTGTCCATCGGGCGGCCCCGCCCACCTCCCAGGCCCTGGCAAGGCCCTGACTTGTTCATTAGCACGACATCTGGTAACCACACGGATTCAGCTGTGATCCGCAGTAAGTCGATGTTGTCATGCTCCGCAGGGTCCCAGCTTAGCCTGTAGTCGGTCCACTCCTAGGGAAGAAGTAGTTAAAGGACCGTCCAGGGCTGGAGGCTGGGAAAGGACTTGGGATACTCAAGAAAGCCCAAAAAGATGGTACAGGGATGAGGAGCAGTCCAGGCACTGGGGAGGAACTGTGGGGCAGGAGGCCAGGTTCTGGCTCTGACTCCATCTTCATTCTTTTAAACCTACATCACCTACGTACCCCTTTCCGGCACCAGACCTATAATTTTTAGTTTGTAAAAATGAGGATACTGTACTAAGTTAGCCTTCAAGACAGAATGTTTCAACCTGCACTTCGAGACTCTTTAGTAGATTGAGTATCAAATTAGTTGTCCCAAACCAGAGTTAAAAAAAAACCCTTAGAATGAAAAATACATGGAGCGCAACTCCCATAATACAGCTTGGCAATGTTTCCATAAGCTTCTGTATAATTGTGAATGTGTTTTCTGAGGTGATGATATGAAATGTATTCCTGGACATTTGAGGAAGTCATAAAGGCAGCGAGATGCCTTTCCCCACCCCTCGTGGACTCCGTACCAGGTCTAAGTACACTTTTGTGCTCATCTCCTCGTCCTTCTCGTTCTAGAAGGGAAAGATTTAAAAGACAGAGGTGAAAAGGTGAGGGAATGGGGAGGGGGGAGCTTTGGCCTGCCCCTTTTTTCCAAGTTACACCCTCTTGAGTCTAGGCCCCGCCTTAAATTCAGAAAACACCCCTTTCCTGATGGAGATACTCCTGTTAATCCATTTACAGCCCTACTTCTGTCCCTCTCTCCACCTGGGTCCATGTCAGACCTTGTCCACGCTCGTAATTCATTCACTCCAGATTTGCCTCCGACTGATTTTAGTGCTCTGTCAGGCACCAAGCTCCGCCCAGTCCTGGCCCCGTCCGCACTGGCCCCGCCTCCCAGCCTATCCGTAGAACCCAGGTTTTCTTGCAGATCCACCCCACCTACAAAGCAGCCACGCCCCCAACCTCCCCACTGGTCCAATTTTTGCTCAATCTCGGCCAATGCCTTGTCCATCTCCCTGCAAGGCCCCGCCCTCACCCCGTACTTCGGTCCTCCCCAAAGCCACGCCTCTCAGCCTGCTAACCAGCTGGACCTCTACCCCGAGCTTGAGACCTCACCAGACTTATAAGTTGCGCCAGAGTGAGGCCAACGCTGACCCGGACGCGGTCTCCCACCTCCCGTGCCGGACGCACCGAGCTGTCATAGCCCGAGAAAAGTTTGTCCCGGAGCTGGCCTTCCGCCTCCGAGCCGTGGACGCCTGGGGGGGAAGGAGAGGACCAAGTGAAGCCATGGTATCTGGCCACTACCCATGCCTGTCACTGACCCATCAGGACTTAGTTACCCGGAGAAAGTGGCGCCCCCAGCAGCAGCAGCAATAGCAGCTCCAGCGCCCTCCGGGCCATAGCTCAGCCTCGTCGCCCGAGTCGGCTCCGTAAGCGGCCGCGATTGCCAGCACGGGAAGTGACGAGGTTCCCAGGAATGTGCACCTGTTGTTGGGGGGCCGTCGCCAGCCCACCGCCCCGCCCCCAGGCCTTGGTCCCGCCTCGAACAACTGCTGGTGCCCGCTACCCACAGTTAACAGGCAAAACGTAGTTGTAGAAATCGTCTTTAATTGAGAAAGCGTGGAGTGGAAACCTGGTCCCCTGGGAGCCAGGCCAGCCAGGAGAGGGCGGAGCCTGAGCGGCTTTTGGGTGAGGGGAGCATCTAGCCCTCGGGGTACAAGACATCAAGTAGAAAGAGCCTGAGGAAAAGTGACCAGCTTGCGGGGCCCTAGCTCCTCCCTCAGGGCTTTTCCTCTCTCAGCCCTGATCTGTGGCATTCTGGAGGCTCCCTCCTACTCCACTAGTTAGTTCCAGGCCCTCCCTAGCTCTCCGTGTTTTCCAGAAAAAGTCTTGCCAGGCCCTTTTTGAGTACCTAAAACCCAGCTGAGATTGTAAGCAAGCTGTAAGGTGAAGCAAAGACTATTCCTTTAGAAGCTCTGGGGCTAATGAGGTCTAGAGAGAGGCCCTCCGCTTTCCTTGGTCTGACTTTTAGGGGAAAGCAGTGGGACTTATTGCTGAATTGGAGTCTCTTCACTGAAGGTCAAGGCTGTATCCCACTTATTCTTTTCATTTCAGACCCATTACTCTAAAGACTTCAGCTTTAAAGGGGACCTGGAAAGAATTCCAGCTGAGGTAGCTAAGTGTTCACGTTTCCCCAAAACTCAGGCCCACTCTGCCATGGTTTTGGATCATTCCCCATCCAAGAATCCCTATTTAGAGCTAGAGATTTTCCCAAAACTCTCCTGTCCCTTCCCAGACTCTGTCCCCAGGATCCCAGGAGATAGAAATGGTATTTAAAAATAAAGTTAGCATTCTATGTGGAAGAATAAAAAATTTCTTAAAATTACCTAGAAAAAAAAAGTGATACTTAATTCATCCTGAACATTAATTCTTTTTGAATCACAGCTATATCCTTTCCAGAGCCCAGGCTTAAAGGGTGTCACTAAAGAAAGTGGGAGTTGATCTAGAACTTACTCTAGAGCAATAATATGGCTATATAGGCCCCAGTTCTATTCTGGAGTAAAGGGTTGGTTGTTGTGGTTTCTGTTGTAGAGCTGACATCAGGAGAGAGCATGGCTCCACAGGGGTCTAGAACACCAAGCTCCAGCACTGAGTGTCTTTGGGATAGGGAGGTTGAGCCTGTGGTGATGTGACACTGCTCCAGATTCAGGCCAGGCCATGGTTAGTTGGGCAGAGCTCAAATTCAGTTTCCTTCTGGAAACCAGAGGTCTGTCTGGGTCAAGAACAGAAAGAAGCCTGATGGATTCCGAACAATCTGGCAGCCTGCTTGTGTTCCAGCACAGAGCCTTGGTGCAGAAATGGCCCTGGCTGGGGTACCAGCTTTTCTAGAATTTGTCCTCTGGCCAGAGTGCCTGATGTTCCAGAACCTGTCCAGATCAAGGCAGAAAGTGGAGTGGGCAAAGTCGGAAACTAATCCTGAGCTCCGATGGACCTATAACTCTATGGCTCAGTGGCAATGAAGAAGGGGCATTGGGCTCCAAGAACTGGCAGAGCCTGGATGGGGGAGTGTTTATTCCCTGGCTCTGTCCATTCTGGAAACCACTGCCATTCCAGCAAAAGGTTTTGGGTTATGTGACTATAGAAGAAGAGTCATTAGCCAGGTGTCATTTTCAGACACCCTCTCTGCCTTCCTCCTAGGTTCATGGATCGGAGGGTCTCAGAAGTCATAGCTGGCATCTAGGCTCCCCCAGGAAACAGCACCTGGTAGGACCTGGCTACTCAGGGCATGAGATTGACAGGCAGAGGTGAGAGCGGGCCAGGAGCAGGGCTGAGAGGCGGCCATGGCAGCGGCTGGCTCAGTGAGAGTGCAGGGAGCCTCCAGCCCAGAGGCTACACTTCAGGGGGCAGGGGGGCTGGAAGGAGAGGTCTCAGGGACACTGTGGAGAGAAGGCTCCCGGTACATGGCCACTGTGAAGGTGAGAAAAAGGAGCAGGGAGGAAAGAGTTAGACACAGAGGAATCCAGGCAGACCCACAACTCTGAAAGGGCACTTTCCCCCTATACTTGCCCTCTGGGAACCCAATCCTCAACTAAGACGCCTCCAGACCCACAAGACCAAAGTCTTTCTGACTTGGCTGGTCATTGTAATGGTCCACTTGAAACATGGAGCCCAGATGGATGCCAGGTGAGAGTGCAGGTCAAGGTCAACACCCTCCCATGTGACCCACCATTTCTTGAGGCTATACCCACCCTCCAGGAGCTTGGGTACAAAGTGGGCAGCTGCCTTGGTCTTCTTGACTCGGTTTCCCTTCATGACCCGGCCCTCCTTGTCCAGGCCTAGGTACCAGGCCCGGCCAGAACGGCGCTGGCGGTAGAGAGCAGAGGCGTACAAAACATAGTAATTCTCAAAGACGCACTCCTTAAAGCGACACTCAGCTGTGAAATGTGGCTGAGGGGACAAAGACCCAGACAAGCACAGAGAGACAAACAGACACGTCACTGAGCAGAAAGATGCCCTGGGAAGGAACAAGCAGGGATGCCATCCATGCACTCTGACGGGGGTCTGATCTCTGAGTCCATGCAGGAATTGAGCAGGGGAAGGATAAGGAGGATCTGATGGACCTCTGAGAGGTAAGAGCTAGACTTTCGGGGGCCTGAATCATAGACCCTTCTCTTCAATCTACCCTCACTCTTCACCATCTTCTGTCCTGAATGATGCTGGGGAAATAACTAAATTATATGAATAATAACGAAGTCTGGAAGAGGTAGAATGAGAAGGAAGGGGCTCCAGAGGGGCAAAGGGTCGGGGTCTCAAAGATGTGGGGGACATTTGTGGTGCTGCCTGTGGAGGAAAAGGAGAAGCCAAGGAGGTGCTCTTGGGTCACCAGAGATGACAGGCCGTCAGTGAAAGCTGGGGGAAGGGGAAGTCCTGGGCTGCTGAATGCCTGGAGAGGAGGAAGGCTGGGTCTGGAGTCCTCAGGACCCTGGGCGCTCAGCCTCTCACCGAGCTGTAGAGCAGGCCTTCGGCATTCATGGCCATGTAGTGGCCCAGCTTGGCGCTCTGGATGGTGACCACTCTGAGCCCCACAGGGATCAGGTTGAAGTGGGCTAGGGGTGGAGATAGAACGGATGTTAGGACCTCAGGCTTATAACCCCCATCTGACCTCCCCCCACCTCCACTTCTTCCCTTGTGAATCAGGGAAACAGACTGACAGCCACTGATCCTGAAGAAGGACTGGAACTATCATCTCCTTCCTCTACTCCCCCATCCCTCCCTGTGGCTGGTCCCCCTCTCACTGAAGGAGCTCGTGTCCTCTGGGGTGCCCTGGATGCTCCCATCAGGATTCGCCTGGAGGTAGAAACCCTGGCGGCAGAACAGTTTGGTGACGATGCCTTTGAGCTGAGGCTCTGGGGAAAGAGACATTCATCTTTGAAAATGACATCTCTGTTCCCAGAAACATTCTCACACTTGGCTTGGCGGATCACAGTGGGGGTGGGGGAAAGTGGAGGATGGAGGAAAGAAAGAGGGGTCCTGGGGGGGCCCTCAGTTTTCTTAGCCTCTAAACTAGCACTCTTCCACCTCTGACTCTGGAGGAAGGTAGGGTGTGGGGTCTATCTGATATCTCCAAGCCAGAGCTTTCAGTTTATTACAATGTATTGAGATGGCTTAATTCCGCCTACTCTATGGCTCAACCCGAAGGGGGAGGGGAGAAGGAGGGAGGATGAGGAAGGGGGGGAGCTGTATCAGAAAGCAGAGAAGAAAGGAGTTGGGGGGGGGTTACTGAGGGGACTGTGTGTTCGTGGATGGGGTGGGAACGAGGGTCACTACAACATAGGGGCTCCCTCTGGAGGAGGGGGTGGGGCTGGGCCTGCCGCTGACTCAGCACCTGCTGCTGCGCTGCTGCTTGCTTGGCTCTGGTCTCAGCCTGGCCCAGAGCCGGCCTGTCTGACACTGACCCATCTGTCTGTCTGTCTGTCAATCTGCTGGCTCGCAGGGCCCAGTTCTCCCAGAGGCTCAGCCTCTGCCCTTCAGCCAGGTAACCCGCTTGGGGTGGGGGCCATACGGTACAGAAGAACCCAGGAAATGGGGGAAGGGAGACCGAGGAGGTGGAGAGGCAGGCGGAGTCACGTGGGGCCGGGTCCCACTCGGAGGGTGGGCTGCGGACCGTACCAATGAGGAGACCGGGGGCCACAAGAGGAGGACGCCGGGGGAATGCCCCCGGGGACGCTGGGAGCGTGCAGGAACGGGGCCAGAGGGCCTCCCCGCCGGTCCTACCTGGACGGGGATCACACGCGAACCCTCCTTGCTCTCCTCCCCGTCGCGTGCTCTCCGCCAACTCCCCCATCCCCTCTTGTAGGTGGTACCACCCCCAATCTAGGTGGTGCCCGTCTCCAGCCCTGAAACTGTTGAGTTCCTTGGAGCTGAGGGTCTCTGAGCCAGTGAGATCCGCTTTCGGAGTCTCGCGGGGAGTAATTCAGGGGTAACGGGGTATCCAGCTCCCTTCTCGGAGCGCAGGTCACTGGAGGAGGGCGCACAGAGGGGCGGGCTGGTGAGGTGGCTGCAAGGACACCCGGGGGAGAGCTGGGGAGATTGGCCTCGAGCCAGGAGAGCCTGGGCGGGAGGAACCGAGGCAAAGCGTGGAGGAGCGGGAGAACCGGGGCGGGGGCGGGGGCGGGGCGGCGGAGGCGCAGAAACCCTCGGGGTGACCCAGGCGTCCAGGGCCTCCAGCTCCCCCGGCTCGAGAAAGAAGAATCGCGAGAGCCAGCACGTAGGCGGAGGACAGTGGGGGTGGGGACGCTAGTGTTTGGTGGAGGGGGTAGGGACGAGCTGTCAGGCTTGGGGCTCCAGACTTCACCCCTCCAGCTTTCCCCTTGCCCTCGAAAGCAAGGAGACTCGAGGTTAATGGTGAGGAAGAGAAAAGAAACTGAGGCAGAGTTAGGCAGGCTGGGACTTTGCCGTCCTAGTTACCCCTGCCACTTCTGGGGAGACCCCTCGGCCAGATCCCACTCTTAGGAGTCCATGGCTTCAAACAGCTGGGCACAGCGACACCCCCCTCCCCAGCCTTGGGGCTCCGCCCCAGCCGCACTCACCCGGGCCGCGGTCCGGCCGAGCGGGCCGCCCCCCGCACAGTCGCACCTTGGACAGCAGGATGAGGAGCTGCTTCTGGCAAAGGGATTTGGTGCCGCGGGGACACACGCGCCGCTGCGCCGATACCGGCCGGCTGCTCCCGGGCTCCCGGACCTCCCTCTTCTGCCGGATCAGGCTACTGGCCAGCGCCGCCATGGCGCCCCGGGAGGAGACACCCCCAAACCGGCGGGCGCCGGGGTGCGCTAGGCTCCCCTAGAGAGACCCGCTCACCAGGGCATGTTCTTGCTGCCCGGGCTCCGACTCACCGCTCCACCTTCAGGACCTGAGGCTAAGCCCCAGAGTCCCCCCGCAAACGCCAGCTCCAGTCCCTGGGCCCCTGGGCCCTGAGCTCGCTTCCCCGGACCCAGCAACCAGCCGGCCTCTCAGTTACCCCACCTCGAATTTTACCTCCTAATGAAAACTGCCCTTTACCCCGTCCCAGCTTCCCTGTCTCCTATCCCAAAGCCAAAATCCTCAGCATTCCTGAGATGCAGTCCTAATGTCCTAATATCTGTTTTGGGGCCCAGCACCCCTACCAAATCCACTCTTCTAGCCTAATAGGTGTGGGTCCTTTGCTTGAGGATCTTAGCGCACGCACCCCACCGCCTCTGGGTAGGCACCAATGTCAGGGAGGAACCCAACCTTGTTGCCTATTCATTTGCCACTCCCTCAATGAAAAGGGTCCCCCACTTTATTCACCGAAAATCCCAAAAATCTGTCTTAATTTCCAGACTCCAGGTTCTGTGAAAAGGCGTTCCCAGGCCCTTTTACTGAATATCTTTTCACCAAGTCACCCCCATTTCTAGTGGCCCAAGGTTCCAACTGCTGAGCCCCTTCCCTCACCTTGTCATCCTCCACTCCTGTCTAAGTCACCTCCTAATCCACCCTTCCTAACGGATACACCAGGTGGTTGCTTGGGGGACAATCTCGAAATAAGGAGCGTCCGGGGTTTTTTAACCCCCCTCTGGTTGCCCCTTATACTTCCTCCTTGAGGACAAGCTGGTCATGTTTAGATCCCATACCCTCCAATCCAAGCAGCCCCCCTAGTGGAATGCACCCACGTTGTCATTAGCCCCCAAATGTGAGCAGGCCCCCTACTAGTGGAGCTTCCCGCAACCAGGCTCCCTTGCCCTCCCTGGGACCGCCTGTATAGCACCCCCTCTTCCTTCCCCGACGCCCCTCAACCTGTCTTGTCCTGTTAATCCGGCGACGGGCGGCGCAGGCTCCAGCTTCAGGCTTCTCCCTCCCGATGCCCTGTAAGCAAAGCTTCCCCCCGCTCCCGGATTGGCGCCCCGGACCCTTGGAATGGAGTGAGGGTGTCTCTGCAGAGCGCCCCGGTTCGGTGAAGTCGGAGCACTGGGCCAGGCGGTTGGACCAGGCGTAGCGGTGGCGGCTGTGGGAAGCTGGGGCGGCAGAGGCGGCAGCAGCTTCCCCTCCTCCGAGCCTGCCCGGGGGCGGGGCAGGGGGCGGAGACGCCGGCAAGAAGCGGGGGACTCGGCGGGCGGGACTCCCGTGTTCCGGGGAGGCGGGGAGCGGGGGCCGCAGCCGAAGCGAAGCCCCGCGGTACGTCTCGGAGCTTCGGAGGAGCGATTCCATTGATCAGAACTTTGGATACGGGAAAAGATTGGTTTTCAGATAGATGACACCCTGAGAATGGAAAGCGGGGCTCTACTGCACAGGATGAGAATGAGGACAGAACTGGATAAGGAAAAGGGGAAGAAATTGGAGAGATGGTGTCTGGGCTATCTCTACTTTTCTGTGAGCTGAATTGGCTAGACCCGGATCACCTCCCTCTCTGCTTTTTGAGTTTTGTACTGACTCTGAGGAAAGGCCAAAAGAACTGAGGGGTGATGGTCGCCTCGGGCTGTGCGGGAGCACAAAGCGCGCTGGCCAAAAATGAGTAGTGGTCAGCCTAGAAGGGGACGACCCGCGCGGGGGATGGAGTGTGTACGCTGGCGATGCCTTCTGGAATCAGGTCTCTTGAGCACAGTTTGCCCCACCCCCACCCCCTTTCAGGAGTGGGGCAGAAAGTCCCTGCCACATCCCGCTCCCCAAAAGCTGCACTTTGCCAGAGGTTAGGAGCATTGTCTTTAATGTGCCCCGCCCCAGACCCCGGCTAAGCCTCCCCCTTTGCGAGCAGCCTTAGCTTCCTCTACTGCTGCGCGCAAGGCCCCTGCAGGGTCCCCCCGGAGCCGGGCCAGCGCCCCCAGCAGGGCAGCAGCGTTGTCCCCCGCATGGAGTTTCCGGTCGTTCATAAAATAGTGAGGCAGCACCCCAGCTTCGAGCACGCGGACCAGCTCGTCCAGCAGCCCGAGGCAACAGGCCCCTGCGTTCTCCGGCCGCGCCAGGTAAAGCGCGGGGAGCCGCTCGCACGCGCAGTAGAGCAATGTCCGCAGCAGGTAGGGTGCCGCACTTCGGGTCCCCGCCACCAGGGGGCGCAGCAGCGCCTGGGCTGCGGCGTGTGCCTGCAGCAGCGGCTCCGGTACGCGCACCTTGAGCGCCAGCTCCTGGCGGGCAAAGCAGAGCTGCCAGCCCGAGGACCCTGGTCGCTCGGTGCTGCCACCGGGCACCAGGTAGAAGGAGGCCGGCTCCGGGGCCATCGGGCCCGCCCAGGAGTGGCTACGAGCTCCTTCGGGCCAGCCGGCCACAGACACCACAGGGATCAAATCGAAAAGCAGGAGATGGCGCGGAGGCCCCGGAGTGGCCAGGAGGACCGTGGTGAACCCCGCGTGGCGCGCTGCGTGCACTAGCCGCGGGGCACTAGGGATCGGAATCAGGGCCTCGGCGACAGTGGCCAGCGACGCAAAGAACCAGGCTGCCACTTGGGTGGGACATAATGTGGGCCACTCTTCCTGCGCCTCGGGCGGATTCAAGGCCTGGCTTTGGACGGCGGGCTTGGTAAAGTCACCATGCAGTGTTTCCAGTGGTGCGGGAGAACCAAGATCGGTGACGTCACGCCGAGGCGGCTCGGGCCCTGAAACGTCAGGAGGTGGTTTTTCCCGAGACACCTGCAGCTCGAGCTCAGGGACGTCACTGTGCAGGTCATCTGCAGAGCTTGGTGGATCTTTGGCATCGCCTTCGTTCTGGTTTTGGTGGGTGGAGGCACTTCCTCCTAAGACCGGGGGTCCCAGGCAGTCCAGCCATGCCTCGCGGACCGCGCTCCCGCGCAATAGCTCTGGGAGGCGGAGCCACACGGAACCTGAGTCCTGGTCCAGTTGCAGCTCCGGCCCCGTGCCATCCAACGAAAACACCGGCACCAAGAGCGTGAAGCCGGCGTCGTAGTGCGGTCCGCGGGTGTAGGGACCCAGGGGAGCCGGCCCTAGATCTAGGGAACCCTCGCGAATCCCACCACGAAGCAGCAAGAGTTCTGCCTGAGGAGGAAAGCGGGGGTCTCTGCGGTGAATCAGACCTGAGGAAAAGACAAGGGCTCGTGGGGGTGTGGCCCAAGGCGGGGCGAGGCCATGGTGTGGCTGAGAGCTGTGCGCTCCGGGAGGCAAAAAAGGGCACTTACCCAGCAAAGAGAAAACAAAGTCCTTGGCCTGAAGGAGGTCTGGGCCTGGCTGAGGTCCGTTACTCCAGTTCTCCTGCACTCCTAGCTCCTGGATCAGCTGGGTCAGTTCCTGAAGTTGCGCCCCCGAGCAGAAGTCTATGTCTGTGAGCGGTCGGGCTGGGGCGGGAGGTGGCGGGCCCCACCAGGGGGCAACGCCCCAAACCATGGAACTCATGTGGCTCTATGGACTTGGGCTGGACCCTTTCCTTTGTGAAAAGAAAAAAAAAATCAATCACCCTCTATTCTACCCGAAGCCAAGCGAATGTCACAGACACGTTACACAACTAGATAAGGGCCCAGTCCGGGCCCTGGATTTAGTTTTCAAATGGAACCAATACCTCTGCGTCTTTGCCCTTTTCTCTCGCGCCGGTCCCCTCCTCTGCGGATTGGTTCATCTGACTCAGCAGGTGAAAAGTAGCTGTTTTCTCTCTACTCAGGGACAAATAGCCAGTCTCTGCCCTTTGCCTCTTTTCTCTTACCTCTTTTCAGAAGAGAATTAAGGTTTGCTTCTCTAGGGGGTAGGCGCGAGGGTGGGGAAGCGAATAAACGGAGTTGTTGCAACAGGTGACTTCTTCTTCCTGCCCACCTGGCCACGCCCCAATATTGGATCACGCGGAGTCAGAATCTAGTCACTCCTTTCGCCTTTTGAATTCTCAAGCTGCCTGGGAGTTGTAGTTTGTCTTTCGAGCTACCCGGACGTCCGAGCCACGCCTCTGTAGCCTTTCCTCTTCTCTCACAGCAGTGCCTGATGGAAGTCGTAGTTTCTATGGAGATAGACTGTGCTGGGTCTTTACAAGCCCAGGTCAACCCTACACGGGCATTCGTTGGAATTGGGGCACAGATGTAATAGTATGAAGCTCAATAGCAAGCAATAATCGAAGGCCTGAAGAGGTAAATAGAGACCCTTGTGTCCCAAGTCACAGCCGGCTCTGGTGGCCTGGCGGCAAAAGGCCGCATTGCAATCTTAGAGGTGAACGGTTCAAATCCACCAGATGCTCTGCTGAGGAAGAAGGGACGGTCTCCTCCTGTGCCAGTTAGATCTTATTTGACAGTACACACACACAAAAAGAATAATTTTTTTTTAAAAAAAAGAGCCCTAGTCACTTAGATCTAAAATGACCGTTCCATGTAAGTATAACTTCCTTATTTTAGAAATGAGGAAACGGCAGCCTCACAAAGTTGTGGAAATCTGCTCAGTGTCACAGAACTGAGCCAACGTGGTGGTAGAAAGTGGATCCGTGACTGGGTGAGTAGGCATCTCCTCCCATCAGTGATAGAAGTGGCATTAAGCAGAAAAACACAAGAAGTGACTCAGGAATGGCGAGAGAGATACTTACTAGTTATCAAGGACTCCCACTCAAATGTGCATGAGAGAGGGCAAGGAAAATGAAAATTGAATTCAGAGGAGACTCCTAGAGCTTGGGGCAAGGCAATGAAAGATCAAGGCCAGAACATTGCTTTCAGTAATCTATGCCATCAGCCTCCAACGATTTGCTGGCTGAAGACCATCTGTGTTCTCCCTGACCAGTGACTGTCTCCAGAATGGGTAGGCCAAAGTCTGTGGGCTTGACAATTAAGGAGAGATCTCCTCAAAAATTTAACTCAACAAACTCATTGGCTTTGAGGCAGAGCCCACTCATAGCTGACCCTCCAGTAGGTTTGCAGAGGCTGTATATCATGCAGGAGGAGACTGCTCATCTTTCTCCTTCAGAGCAGCTGGTGGATTTGCACTGCCTTGGGTTTGCCAGTGCTACATTCTATCCACTGGTGTTATTATGTGGTGTTGAGTCAGAACTGGCTCATAGTTGACCCTCCAGCAGGTTTTCAGGGTCAGCAAATTGCATGGGAGGAGATTGCCCATCTTTCTGCCACAGAGCAGCTGGTAGATTAAAACTGCATGCCCTTGAGTTGACAGTGCAATTCCTTACCACTAAGCCACAAGAAGACCTCCAAATGAGATCTCAGAATCTAGGGCTCCATTTGAGGATCTCAGGCTTTAAGGGATACTAGGCCTTTTGAAGGGAGTTCTTCCCCTCCCAACAACTAAAGTATTAGTACCTTGGAGTACCATGAGCCCCCAAATTGGGAAGGTCTATTATCATACATATAATTATGACCTGTAGAGTCTCTGAATGATGCAAAGACTGAAGCACTTGTTTACAAGCTAAAATGTCTGCAGTTAAAACCCACCCAAGGGTGCCTCAAACAAAAGCCCAGCAATCTACTTCAAAGATGGCTTCCCTGAAAATCTATAGAGCACATTTTTACTCTGACACACTTGGGTCCCGTCACCATTCGGAATCAATTCAATGGCAACTGGTTGTTGTTGTTTTTTGTTTGGTGGGGTTTTTGTTTGTTTGTTTGTTTTTGTTGTTGTTGTTGTGACTCAAGAGATCAGGGCAGGAGAACCGAAGACTAGTTTCTTTTTCTTGGTCTGAGGTAATCAGACATCAGACATCCCTACATCTTACCTTTTCTCAAGAGCATTAACTCTTAGCTACTCTGTGAAGAACTACATCCCCTAAACATTGTGGGTGTTTTGAAAATGCTGGAGGTAGGTAGGAAGGATGAGAAAGTTTAAGCTCCAAAGCATTGAGATTTTCTGTGATAATAAAAATATTCTAAATTGGTGCTGTCCTGTAAGTAGACACTAGCCATGTGTGGCTGTTGGAATGTTGATAATGTGACTGAGGAACAGAAACTCGTTTTACCTATTGTCAGTTTCAGATTAATTAACCACATTTGGCTGGTGGCTGTTATATTAAGTTCTAGGGCCTTGAGGATAATGGATTTAGCTATGACACTATAGAGGGGGTTGAAGGGCAGAGAGAATTCCAGGCCTCCCTAAGTCCTGTGGGTGACCAGTGTTAGGGCGCTTGGATTGGGTTTAGATTCATATAGATTTCAACCAACCACGGAACATGTCTCTTGACTCTTTATTCCTGATGTACCTTTTTTTTGTCTTTTTCCATGGTCTTCATTATAAGCTGATATCCCCATTTCCTGGCCTCCCTTGAGTGTCTGGGTGCATCTTGATGAAGGCGCCTGGGAGACAGAGCTTCACACTTATCCCTGCCCAGTCCTGTGTGTCTCTGGCGGGCATCAAAGACCACGTGCCCTGTTCGGGGACCTGACCCAGGGCTGTGGGTCTTCCAGTTGATTTTAGGAGGCATAGATATCTGGCGATAGTTGTGGGAAGCTGAAGAAACTGTATCTACAGGGCTGTAGGCCCCATCATGGCTGCCCACTTGCCGGGAGCATGGCTTCAGCTCAATGAGTACAGGTACCTCTGAGAAGGTCTGCAGATCATTGCAGATTGTCTGGTCCTTGGAAGACCCGGAGTTTGGATTGAGTGGAACAGAAGTCCAGGGTACGTGAAGCTCTGTGTCATTCCTCTGGGGAGTCTCTTCAGATGCAAATAACTTCCTCAGGGATGGTATTGACTTGGGGGTCTGAAGAGGACCTCGGACTAGGACAGAGTCAGTTCCTTGAGCAAGACCAGGGCTCTTGTGCAGGCCAGGGTCTTGGTTAATGCGGGAGTCATTGTGGAGACCAGATTCCTGAGGAAGACTGGGGATCTTGGGAAGGCCAGAGCCTTGCGTATCGGCTGGGCTATTATAGGGTCCAGGGACTTGATGAATTTCTGAACACTTGTGGAGGCCAGGATCTTTTGTTTGTTCTGAGCTCCTGTACACACTGCCATTTTTAGTAAGGCTATGTCTGTTTTTAACTTTAGTAGCTGGGGTAAGACCTGGACTCTTGTAGAAGTTGCAGTCTTGAGTAAGACCCACACTTCTGTGGACTCCAGAATCTTGCTTAAAATCTCGATTCTTATAGTCTCCCGAGTCCTGGGTAAGGTTTGATCCTTTAGAAAAGTCAGAGGAGTGGGAAAAGCCTGGGCTCTTTTGATGACTGGGTCCTTGGGTTGATCCTAGACACTCGTAGCCTCCAGAATCTTGAGAAAAACCAGAGTCCTCATTGTGGTCAGTGACTCTGGAGAAGCCTTGACTTTTGCACACTGTACTCTCTTGGGTTGCGTTTAGATTCTTATAGACTCTGGAATTTTGTATAAAGCCTGTAGTCCTCTGTAAGTTCGAAGTTTGGGTAGGTAGTCTGCTTTTAGGAAGACCAGAGGGTTGGGTGGCACATGGAGTCCCAAAGCCAACAGCGTCTTGTATCGTGTTCTTTTGTGGGCCAGAATCTTGAGTAATGCCTGGACCCTGGTGATCTAAGTCCTGGGAAGGAATTGGGCCCTTCCAGAGACCTGAGTGCTTATGGGAGCCAGGATCTTGGGTAAGGCCTGGGTTCTTGATGCCTGCATCTTGAGCAATGCCTGATTTGTTATGGAGGCCTACACCATGAGGAAGGCTTGAGTTCCTATGAAGGCCTGCATCTTGGATAAGGTCTGAGGTCCTGTGTAGCCCTTGATCTTGAATAAAGCCTGGGTTCCTAAGAACTCTAGAGTCTTTTGAAGGACATGGGCTTCTTTGGAGGCTTGAGCTTTGGTTAAGGCCCACACTCTTATAAAGTTCAAAAGATTGGAGTTGGTTCAAGGATTGGGAAATATTGAACTGGGGAGATGTGGGAAATTGAGAACAGGGTGTGGAGTGCTGAGACTTGGAGTTTGGGGGATAAGAAGGGGTTTGTACTGATGCTGAGGGTTTCTGATGATTGGTAGGTTCTGGAAAGACAATGGATCTGGAAGGCACAAGAGGCAGAGAAAGAATACATGGTGGAGGATGGGCACTCCGTGAACTCTGAGCAGTGCTTGGCGAATGAAAGCAAGATTGAGGACTGTCTTGAGAGTAGACCACGAACTCGGGGTAGACTTGTGCCTGGGAGTCTGTGTTCTTCCTCTGAGAACTGCAGGGATGGAAGCTGCAGTAAGGGAAAGTCTTGGGCTGGAAGGCCTTGTCTTTACTCTCATCTGGAATCTTGTATTCTATGTTCCCCAACTCCAAGTAGCCCAGTACGGAGTCTGCAGGGGGCATGGCACCATCTCTACTATGCCGCTTTGATGTTTGCTCATATATACTGGAACTCACCAGACCTGGCCCATCTTGGGACCTGGAGAGGGTACCTAAGTCCTTTGCGTTTTCAGAAGGTACGAAGTTTTGGGGACTGTGTACATGGAAGACATTCTGATTTGCACGGCAGGGATCATAGAATATATGTCTAGAGGCTAGGTCATGGCTGAAAGCAGCCAGCTTAATGGGGACAGGGGCTAGGATACGGGTAGTAGTGGGGGTGAGGACAGCAGCAGGGGTACCAGCAGTAGCCAGTGATGAGGCAGGGGTTGGCGCAGGAGTACTGGGTGGTTTAGAAGTTGGGGAAGTGGTTGAGGTTGAGGCAGGGGCTAAGGAATGAGCTTGGGCATGGCTTAAATGAGCAGAGGCCAGGGTATATGTTGTGGCATGGATTGAAGAGTGTTCAGGGGTGTGGACATGGATTGGAGTTCGCTCGGAGGTGTGAATCTGGGAGTGGGTTGGGGTATGGGTTGAGGGGTGTTCCAGGATGTAGATCTGGGAGTGGGTCTGGACTGGGTCTGGGGTATGGGTTGAGGGGTGCTCAGGGGTTTGGACCTGGGTATGGACCTGGGTGTGGGCTACAGTATGGTCTGGGGCATAGACTGGTTTGTGCTCAAGAGCAGTGGCCTGGGTGTGGGCTGAGATGTATTTAATGGTATGAATCTGTTCCTGGGCTTGACTTTGCCCAGTGTCCTGAGGTGGATTGTGTTCAGGGGCCTGGGTTGGAGTATACTTAGTGTCCTGGGCTGGAATGGACTCAGAAGCCTGGGTTGGCATATATTCAGGGCTCTGGCCTGGGATGTACTTAGTGCCCTGGGCTGGGGTGTATTCAGGGGCTTGGGCTGTGGTGTATTCAGAGGCCCTGGTTGGGGTGTACTCAGGGTCCTGGGTTAGGGGTTGGGTCTGAGTGTGGGCTGGGGTATGAGCTGAGTTAAGCACAGGATCCTGAGCTTGGGGCTGGATGGGGGACTGGACTGAGGGCTGAGGTGGGGCATTGATCTTGCTCTCTTGAGACACTGAAACCTTGTCCAGCTTGCTCATCTTCTGATTGCGAGCCTTGAAGTTGGCCGTGGGGGCAAGGAATTGGAAAGAAGTCTCCAACTTGGAGAAAAAGGAGACTTGGGCCTTCGAAGCTGTGGACTGATTGTCCTTTCCAGTTCCCAGCATCCCCTCTCTCCACAGACTCTGTGGCGCTTCTGTGGGAGCCCCTGTGCATCCACATTGAAGTGGCATCTGGCAGCACCTCAAAACCTTCTCCTCATTTGTGTCTGGTATCCAGGAGTCAAGGTAATCAGAGTGCCCAAGCAGGAAGCTGGGGTGATGATGAAAGTGGGAAGAGAGTCTTGAGCACAGGTTTTGGGGGTCCATGGAGCAGCGCATACACACAGGATGGCTGCTTAGAGAGCTGGGTTGCTTGTCTGCAGGGAGAAATGGATGGGACAAAGCTTGAGTGCTAAGGGACCGAGAAAAGGGGAAGGGGGTGATTCACATTCTACATGCCTAAACTCACTCACCTTTGGGGAAAAAATGATGGAAAAGAATCCGCAAGGAGCTCTTCAAATGTCTCCAGAGCTGAGAGGAGCAGGAGAGGGGAGAATCTGGGATCCAATTCTGTTTGGCCATACCCCAGTAGCCCTCCCACCTCAGCCCCTGAGATTCCAGAGTCCCCTCACCCTGCGTCCCAGGCCCTGCCCTGACCAGCGTCACCACATTGATCCCCACGTTGAGCAAGATGAAGCTGCCCAGAAGCAGAAGAATTGAGTCTCCCAAGTCCTGGCACTTCCGGGGGTTGGTGCCAGAGCACACTTGGGCTCCATAGTGGGCCCGCTCATCCATGGCCGGGGGTCCCAGGACTGCCTGGGCCCCCTGGCCCCCCCAAACTCACTAGGGGCCAGACTCCTCTGGTGGAGGAGGGGAAAAGGACTGAGTCACAAAAGGTGGGTGGTGAGGTCACAATGTGAAAGAGCAGCGGAAAGTCCAGGCTGCAGTTCTCTGGTAACAGTCTGTCAGGCAGAGCCAACTATACAGCCCCTTTCCTCTACCTCTGGTCATTCCCTCATGGCCCATGGTCACTCATTCTTGTCTTTCCTATGGTTTCTGCTAAGGATGCCAACCCTCTCTTGTCCACTCCTGAATAGCAAGACGTTGCCTTGAAGCTGTGTGGAGTGAGCTCGGCTGGGATTCACAGCTAGCTTTCTCTCTATCCTAGACTGAGTATTTGCCCAGACCAGAACCCCCAAGGCTGAATCTGGCTTCAGCTGCTTGTGTGGGGCTGAGACTCCAGCCTCTTTGAAGACAGGGAGCATTAGCTGGGTGTGGGAGTGCCAGACACCAGTGGTCTGGAGTCTGCAACTGCATGGTGTGGATCCAGGAGGGGCCTTCAGGTCCTCAACACCGAGGAAGGGAACGCTGGCCAGAGACCACTACAGTGTTTTCTGGATTCTGTTTCTCTTTATTTCTCTCTCCATGCACTGCCCAACCACCCTTCCTCGGCTGCTTGTCAGCTCAGCTTCCCAGTGCGGCTTCTGTGCAGAGGTGGCCTGGAGTCTGAGGCACAAGGTGGCAGGGAGGTGGTCTGCGCTTGGCTCTCCAGCACCTGCCGCTTCAGCTCCAGGCTGTCATACACCTGGTTAGCTTTGGCCCCCGGGCTCCGGCTGAGTGGGATGAAGATGGGAGGTGGAGGGTCAACAACCTGGACCACAGGCAGGGGCTGGGAGCAGTGGTGGAGCAGGGTCGAGGCAGGGGCTGGGCCTCGCTGGCAGGATGCCTCACCCAGTATGGTGAGGGAGGCTGAGGTGGTTAAGGGGTGGCGCGTGGGCATGGCCTCTGCACATTCTGCTGCCCGACGCCGAACCTCATGGCGATCCCGTGAGCTGTGAGTCAAGTGTCCTGTGGATGGATGGGGGCTTCGATTGGGTTGGCTGTGACTGTAGCTGGTGAGGCCCCGCCGGTGGGTCTGTGGGGAGCAGTGATCTCGGCAGGCCTGGACCTCGGGCCGGATGGAGCACCGGGGCACCAGGGCGGGGGGGGCTTCAGTACCCTCCAGCCCATGCCTCCGCTGCTCCCAGGACTCATGTAGCAGGTGACCTCTTGAAGGCTGAGGACTGTGCTCCCCGGGGCCCCAGGAGGGGTTCAGAGGGAGACGACGGGCAGGCTGTAGAGGCGAGGTCCGGTGTTCAGCTTCCACGTTGCTCCAGACGTGGGATTGGGAGAAGCAGGGCCCGTAGGTCTGTAGCCGCAGCTCTGACTTGGCCTCCACACGCTTGGGCAGACGACGGAGCTCTGGAGACATGTAGAAGGAGGGAAGCGGCAGGCTGGCCAGGATGCCGCCCTGGCGGCCCCAAAGCCCCAGGTTGGAGGGCAGGTGTGGCCTCGGGCAGAATCCTCCCCAGCGCTCACGTAGGTCCTTAGGTTGCAGGAAGGACAGATCCTCGTCCGGGAAAGAGTCCTGATCCAAGGAGGGCATTGGCAAATATGTCACCCCAGGGCTGTGAGGTAGGTCACAAAAGGCTGGGCGGCCACGATGGAATGATCTGTGTTTCCTCATCCTCTGCTGGTGATTGTATGAACCATGGAGGAGGCGCCTGCGGGGAGGCCTGCGGGGAGGCCTGCGGGGAGGCCAACTGTGGCGTTTGGGGTTACAGAGATGAGAGGAGGAGGAAAAGGTAAAAGAGGAGGAGGAGGAGGAGCACATGGACTGGGTCATTTTCACCTCAACAGGGTCCAGGGTGCAGCGAACATGGATGTCCCTGGCTGAGCTCTGACATGGATCTTTGGGGGAGATGTGACAGGACTGGATGATGTCATCTGGGGGAGGCGAGAGTCCAGGAGGTCACAGCAGTTGTCAGGAGGTCAGAATCAGGAGCCCTGGGATCTGGGTATCTAGAGATGTGGCTGGAGTTCCCTAATTGTCATACTTACTTTTCTGATTGATCCAGCAGGTCATTTTGGCTAGGGTGTTCTGGAGCCAATGCCATAGCTTGGTGGGGTGGGGTGAAGTGAGAGTGAAGGCCAACCCTTTCACACCCAGCCCCTGTCCTGCTCCCAGCCCCTCCGCGCCCAGGCCCTCCACATCCAGCCCCTGCCCCACCCTCAGCCCCGATCACTTCTATGGTGAAGGCACAGGCTACCACCAGTGCCCACCCTCAGCCATCTTTACCCCTGTAGTTTGCGCCTGGCCTTCACTCACCACAGTTGCCATGTTGACCCCTGTGTTGACAATAATGATGAGACCCAGCAACAGGAGTAGGAAGTCTTCAGCATCCTGGGAACTGTCTTGGTGTTGACTGCAGCATCCCAGGGGATCATACAAAAGCTGGCCTTCCATGGTGGGGGGGTCCTAGGGCCACCTGGGCCGTGCCCCCCCACCAGCCCCAGCCCACACTGCACTCATGCCAAGACTTGGGGACCCCCTACTAGTTTGTGGATGATCCAGGTCACAATGAGGAAAGTTGAGAAGAGTCACAATACAGAAGTGGCAGCTGATCTTGGCAGTCACTTGATGGAGTCCAGTAAAGAAATGAATTTGCTATCTTTATATATATATTCCAAATGTTATTGTTATTTACTGTCAAGTTGGAATTGACTCGTAGCTGACCTTCCAGTGGGGTTTCAGAAGCAGTCAATAAATTGTACAGAAGGATATTATCTTTCTCCCAGAGAGCAGCAGGTGAATTTGAACCGCATGCCTTTGGGTTGGCAATGTAGCTTTTTACCACTAGACCACCATAAACCAGGTAATGGATTGAACTGTGTCCTCCACAATGTTCACTTTGGAATCCTAATTATATGTGGGACTCAGTTCCAAGATACCCCTGATCTGTCTTCCTCTGCTCCATTAGGGTCTGCTTACCTGTGCCTGACCTCTGTTCTAAAATCACAGGAGCTATAGTCATGAAAAGAGTCTTCTCAGACATTGAACCATACACAAAGGATTTTTTCCATTTTTCCTTTCAGACACACAGTCTTAAACCCCAGGGACTGAATTTCCTGGCCAAGGATTGAAGTTCTGCTATTGATGGTCACTGAGTACCATTTCCTCCTCAACCGAGATTGCTAGCTCCGACAGGGACGCCATCTTCCAATCATCTGCTGGCCCACTCTGTCAAAAAACCTGCTAGCTTTTACCTCAAGATAACTGTATGTAACCCACAAAGCAGTAAAAGATGTAGTGGCAGATACAACAAAAGAATTCTCCCATTTGTACCAGGTTCACCATTGAGGCCTGTGTACGAGAGCTCCTCGGCGGCCTTGGTAATAATGATCTGCCCATCAGGAACAGAAAGAGGAAAAGACAGTGGGCATTGTCTATCAAGCTTCCAAACATATAGTAGGTATGTTCAATACATATCCACTGAAAGGAATTAGCTTAAATTGATCAAGGGTGTTAACTGAATCTACATCAGCAGAGAAGCACTTCTGTCTGCTACATTCCAGAAATCCATCTGGTGTATGAGGTGAGGCCCAGCGTCTTTAGCCTGGATCTATTCATGTGGCTGCTTGTTTCCAGGAGGGGTGTGTATGCAAGTGCGCACACATGTCTATGTGATGCTCTGTAGGGGTAGAAAAGGGCCTCGAGCTCCCTGCTGTCCAGTGGAATGAAATATTCCTATGTACAAATGGAGGAGTGCCAGGTTCTGGTAGAGCAGGCTGGTGATACTACCTGCAGGAGTGGAGAGATGGACCATCTGGGAGCATGAACTTGACCCTGGATGTCTTGAGTGACCACGAGTGACTGACTTGCCCTCTCTGACTGATCCCCAGGCTCATTTGTGACATGGGTTTGTTAAAGAAGTCAGTCATAGACCTGTGATAACAGTGAAGAAGCCCCTGAGCATCATTATTTCAGCCTCTATTCCAAACCTGCCTGAGGGTCTAGAAGCTCCAGGTGCTGACCAGGGAATTGTCAAGCCCTAGATATCCTCACTCAGCCATCCTTGTGCAAAGACACTAGGACTCACAGGGGCTGAGCATCCCTGTCTCCCCTGTGGCTGCATTCTAAACAGACTCTAGCAGGGACTGGTGCTCTGAGGGGCTACAGTCATGGGGATGGGGATCTACGCTGAAGTACAGAACTGTCTGGGGATTTGGGATGAGACCTGAGGGCTTCTCTGGGCACTAAAGGAAGCAGGGTAGAGGTGGGTGGGAGTCTTGGAACCAGGAGAAATCTGGGAAAGGGCTGAGGGCGGGAGTCTTGGAACCAGGAGAAATCTGGGAAAGGGCTGAGGGCAGAGCGAAGTGAGGGCCAGAGTTTGATGAGGGTCCTCCAGGCTGTCTAGGCCCTGTTGCCAGGGAGATCATTCCCTTAGCAACCACAGCTTCTGGGTGATTTGTGCCTGGAACCCTCACACACCAATATAAAACACCTCCTCTCTCTTTTATTATTTCCCCCCCAGTTACTTCCCCACCACGGGACGGTAAATCCAGCTCTGCTCTGTCCTTTCAGCCACTAAGGGCTTGGGGGGCAGGGGATAACATTGAGACAGGGCCTCTATCTCCCTTGTCAGCTCTCGTAGGCGCCGCCTCACATCAAGGGCGTCATAAACCACTCGGACGGAGGACCGGCGCTGGGGGATGTCGGGGACCATTGCTGGGCCCAGAACAGGAGGTTGGGAGCAGTGAGTGACCTCTGCCTCTGCCCTGCTGTTTTTGTTGTTCAGGGCCTCGCAGCTGGAAGGTGGAGGGTTCACAGGATACACGTAGGCCTCAAGGCCTACCTCTGAGTGGACATCTGTTTTGTGGGGCCTTCCCCCTTTGGTCTGCTGCAAGCGGATGGCCTGGGAAGATGGCTCCACACTGTCCTGGGCCCAGGGGTCCCAGATCCCCTGGTTGGCCTGGAAACTTGCCCAGCTCTCAGTGGGTTCCCAGTTGTGGGCGCAGCTTGCAGGGTGCTGAGGCAGGGGCTTTTTGTTGTCATTGTCGGGGTTCCAGCTGACTGGGTGGTGGTCACAGTGTGCTGGGAGGTCACGGTGGCGACAGCGACGAGAGGGTGGAGGAGTCATGGTCATTTTCACAGGATCCATGGTGCATCGGATGTGGACTTCGGGGCGGCTCTGTCTTCTTGAGGGCTTACTGGTGGTCTGCTTCCCACTTAAGGATGACGTACAGGTTTCTGTGGGTGAGTGAGAGGTAATACAGGAACGGAGAGGCAGGGTGAAGAGGGTTATTGCGGTAGGGAGCTAGCAGAGAGCTGAGGCTGGTGCCTGGTTTCCTACACCCTAAACCCAGTTCTGCTTACCTTTCACGCAAATATTATTGAACATTCGGCATAAGAAGTAACGGAGTCTCTGCCAGAGCTAGGTGAGGGAGAACACAGTGACCCCAGGTATGCCCTCGCAGGCCCCCCTCCCACCACCACCCCTGGCACCATTCTGACCAGGGTCACCAGATTGATTCCAATGTTAATGCAGATGATGAGGCCCAACAGCAACAGGATGGAGTTGCCCAGATCCTGGCAGTTGGTGGTGTGAGGGTTGTGATAAGAGGCCCACCCAGGCTGTGTTTGCTCAGCTATGGCCATTGGGTGGTCCCTAGGACCACCTGGGCCCTTAGGCCCCCAGCCCACACTGTGCACCAGCTCGCCTACCTGTCTCAGAGGCTCCTAGCAGTGAGCGGGTCACAATGGTGCTGGGGCTTCTCCTCACAATGTGCCAAGGGGCTACTTTGAGTTCAGGGCCCATGGGTGACTAGCCTGGACCCAGGCTTTGCAGAGGCTGAAATCTACTTTGAGTCTTTCCTTTAGTGCCTAGACCAGCCCACAGGCCCTCTGACGCCAGCTATCAGTGCAGCCCCTCTTCCACGGCACCAGGTTCTGGCCTCTGCGGCCAGAGTTCTGCCCTGACTCCCAGCACTCATCACCACGGCACTGGTCCTGGCTTAAAAGAAGGGCTGAGGGTGCTTGGACCCATTCTTCCTTTGACAAGTCACTCCCAAGTTTTGTTTCTTCAGAGCCCCTACCCACCACCTCTTAACACAGCAGGCACACCCAACAGTTAAACTCTTATATTTACAATATTCTCTTCATCTTTTGCCAGGTTTAAAAATGTGTACAGAGCTGCGAAGAGTTGGGGAGGGATATGGGATTGTCAGGGAATTATTCTGGGGCAAGGAGCTGGGCATTGGAGTCCGTGGCTGAATCTTGGGGTTCCCCAGCACCCCCTCCCATGTCCCAATTCCAGGAGCATCTGTCTATAGGGTTCAGGGCCCAAGTCCCTAGTGTTTAGACATGACTGAGAAAGAGCTGGACCAGGTTGGGGAAAGGGTGAGAAAAGAACTAAGTTTCCATGGCTGAAGGTGGAAAGACAGGAGGTCAAGCCCTGGGGCATCAAGTCCAGGAGCTGTGGATCTGAGTGTCAGTGGAAGACAGGACCCACCCCCTATTTAAGTTTGGCACTGATGTCCCACAAATGCCAGCAGACCAGGATTCTTGCCTCCTCTACTGACTTTCCTTTAAACTCTTCTGACACTGTTCTTTACCACCCCAGAGGTTCTCCTAAGGTCCTTTCTGGGTAATCACCTCACACATTTCCTTTCAAATTCTTCCTGCTGGTGTCTGACCAAGCCCTGTACCCCATGCCCCTTCCATCTGTTCCTCAGAATAGCTGACCTCATTCTCTCTCCAGCCTGTCCCGTGAAACCTCTATCCCTGGCCTCCCCTCCATTGCTCCTTTCCTGGGGCCCTGGTAGTGGGTCAGCCAAAGGGAAAATGTTGGTATGAGATGGGAACAGATTCAGACAGAGAGGGAAAGAGAGGGAGAGAGAAAGGAGAGAAGAGGAAAAGAGAGAGGAGAGATGAGGGAAAGAGAGAGAGAGAAAAAAAAATAATAGGGAACTGAGGCAGAGGGGGTAACAAGAGAGACACAGGCTGGGCCCTCTTAGCTGACCCCATCACCCTGTATGTCACCTGCCCCCACTGTCTCCCTGCTCTGGTTCAGGATCAGAGAACCCTTGGCACATTTAGGAGAAAGGAATTCTCCCCTCATATCCCCCGCCCCCCAGTTTGGCACAGATGAGCAATGGTCTGAGGACAGAGGGACAGGCTTCCTCAGAGCCTGGATGAGGGCTTTGGTCAAACATGTATGGTCTCTGTGGGTGGTGCGTGCCATCTCCCCACCCCAGTTTGGCATCTCTGGGAGAATAAGGGGCTGAGCCCTCTCCTGAGGATTCTTGCATCTCTCTCAGCTTCTGTCACCCTCAATCTGTATCTGCCTGCTGTGGGGAGGAACCAGTGCTGGACCTGAGGCCTGGGGCTCAAGGAAGTGCTGAGGGGAGAAGGGCTGACTGCATGGGAAGACACGCACCCACATGCAAGAACATGTGTCCACTGACAGAACTGTGTCTTGGAACCACTGGGACCATCTGTTCCCAGGTGGCTCAGGGAGGCAGGAAATCCGTGTCCGTCTTAAATCTGCGGAAGGCTCGGGCCCATCCAGGAGAACGTGCTGACTTGTGCCACGGGGGGAGAGACATGCTTCACTGGGGTGAGAGGGCAAGGCAGGGGCCTGTGACTTCCTCATTGCTTCCCAGCAACACCCCAGTCGTCAGGTGGCGGTGGGTGACTGCACGTGAACACACCACTTCCAGGGTCTACAGGAGGAGGCGGGGAGGGGAAGGGTGGAAGGCATGAGGGAACAGGATTGTGGGGTATAAACCCCTGCAGAAATTCCTTGAGGGGGCCAGCATGTGTCTGGGGGGGCAAAAAAAACCCCTCACCCTGCACATGGGAAAACACACCCCCTCATGAGAAAGCAGCCTCCAGGCGGGAAGATACTCCGTTTCCACACACCGAAGGCTAGTGTCCCGCTGGAGGGGGAAAAAGGATCCTCCCAGGTTGTCCAAAGGCCCAGGCCTAGAGAAGAGGGTGGGCTTCTCTGTGTGGGAAAAGCACGCATCCCTGGGAGGAAACCCATGTCCATCTTAATGCTCCTCATGCAAGAGGCCGCAGGAGCAGAGTCCTCCTTCCCACCTTAGGCGGTGCTTCCCGCCCAGGTGGCAAGGGCTGGGGAGGTGGGCCTCCCCAAGCTGCCCCCTATACCCGGGTGGTGGAGTGAGGGTGCGGTAGCGTGTTGTTGTGGCTGGTAGCGGTGGCAGGGGGCGGAGGGAAGGGCCCAAAAGGGTGCAGAGACGGGGGTGGGGGAGGCGGCGGTGGCCCCAACCCACTGGGCAGCAGGGTTAGGGCCCCCGGGGCTAGGAGAGGCACATCGTCTGGTGCCCGGCGCAGGGCCAGGGTATAGTCGGGTGGGCAGGCGGGGCGCAGGCCCTCGGTAGGGTCCGCCCCGACGCCACCTCCCCGTTTCAGCTGCAGTGACACCAGCTCCTCCTCTGGGGGTAGCTCGCGGCCTGCGGCGGGGAGCAGGGGGCCTCCGCCGGGCACCCCGGAGCCTGAGCCGCCCGGTGGGCTGAGCCGCCGGCACCGCAGCTCCTGTCGCCGGTCCCGCTTGTAGTAGAGGGCAGCGAAGGCCAGGATGTTGAGGAAGAGGAGAGAGGCTCCTACAGCCACCGTGACGCTGAGCTCCGTGGAGTAGTCCCGCGAGTCCCCAGGGAACCGGTCATAGGTGCGGGGTCCCGGCTCGAGCTCGGGCTCGGGGGGCAGGGTGGCGGGTGGCGGTGGCCGGCGGGTGCCTGGGGCTGGCGGCCGAGGCGGCCAGCGCGTGGCGTAGGGAGGCAGGCGCGTGGTAGTGGTGAAGAGCTCCGTGTGCAGGTTGTGCAGGTGCGGCACCAGCTCCAGCCAGAAGGCCACCTTGTTGGCTCGGTAGTTGTCTCGCACGCGGGGCTTCAGGCCGATGTGCAGATACTGCTTCTCCTTGCTGTTGAACTTGCTCCACACCACTTCCTCAAAGCGGTTGGGTTTGGTGTGGATGAACTTGGTGTCCTGTGGCACAGGCTGGTTGGGGTCGCTGTGGGCACAGGAGGGCAGGGAAAGCAGGAGTGAGGGCCAGGCTCAGACAGAGCTGGGAGCGCAGGGTGCAAGAGCCAAGAGGGGCATGCAGATGCAGAGACAGAGATGCAGACAGCAGGAGAAAACGAGGGTCAGTCAGAGATGGGCAGAGGCGGAAACCAAAAAGATGGGGACACCATCAGAGGTGGGGACAGAGAGACTTACGAGATGCACACAGAACCTGCCAGAGACAGTCAGTGAGAGAGACTCCAAGACTGACCAAAATAGGGATTGATGGACAAAGAGGGAGAGTGAGCTAGACAGGCTGATACCAGCAGGCAGCCAGAGATGGCAAAAAGGAAACCACTCAAAAAGGGGGGGTGGGGTGGGTGGAACCCAGCAAACAGCCCAGAACAGTAGAGAAAAAGAGGCATCAGGAGATTTCAAGAGAGACAACAAACAGATAGGCAGGTGGACAAAAACCCCTCCACATATTTGGCCATGGAGATCCAAGTGGTCAGGTAGAGGGGCCAGAGGTACTGGGATGGGGAAGAAGGTGGGTAGGTAAGAGAAGGGAGGAGAGGCAGACATCCAGGGAAGCCAGTGAGCCCACCCGCAGAGGACTGGGACCCAGCTGCTGAATCCCCAACACACCCAGTTGGGTGTCTGAGGTGAGGTAGCGAGAAGGCATGGCAAGAGCCTTTAGATGGAAGCAGGGGTGGCTTTCTGAGGAAGGAGGGTGTGCTTCTGCCTGTAGGGCGTCCCCCCAGCCGCACCCAGCCCCTTGGGCCCTCACCCAGTCTTGGCAAAGTTGGTCCAGTAGGTCATGACCACCGCGCTGAGCATGACGTCATTCTTGGAGAAGTTGCAGGGGAAGAGGTCAGTGGCGCCCACCATAGGCACACCGAAGACATAGGGTAGCTCGTCCCCGTGAGCGGCGTCTGCCCACTCTGGCCGGCCCTCAGCCTGGCAGTGGTGGTAGAAGGTGTAAAAGTAGACGGGGGACTGGTAGTCAGCGTGAAGCTTGGCGGTGGCCACTGCTGGAGCCACCCACTGGTGGTCTGTAAAGAGAGCCAGCAGGGTCTTCCGGCGCATCTCCCCATTGTCCCGGTCAGCCCAGTCTGTGTACATAAACTTGATGGTCTCCCGAAGCACATCCTTGCCCTCGGGGTAGCCGTACAGGTTGTCCACAAAGTTAGAGACGGTGAAGTCGAAGGCGCTGGCTGATACGCCATCCTCACTCTCTGCAGAGTCTTCTACAAACTTGAGGCCCTCACCCTGGTTGACACCAATGAGCATATCGTAGTTGAGGAATTCTCCTTGCTGCATGAGGATCTCAGGGTCATCTGGGACAACGTCACCATCCACCACGGGACCAAAGGCGATGTGGTAGCTGGGGAGAAGGGGCAAAGTCTCACACCTCATCCCTGGCCTCCTCTCTGGCCCACAGCCTGCTGAGCTCCACCCCTGCCTGAAAGACCCTCTTCCCAACTTGAGAAACAATTGGGTCCTTCAGGACACTGGGCCTCTCCAGGAAGCCTTCCATGAAGCTGTTCATGCTACCTGACATACTTGCCCTGTGTGTGCTACTGGTGGGTCCCATCTAGTTGGAACTGACCCATAGCTGACCCTCCACAGGATTTTCAAAGGCAGTAAATTGCCCTGGAGGAGAGTGCCCATCTTCTGCAGAGTAGCTGGGAGATTCAAACAATCTACCTTTGTGTTGGCAGCACAATTCCTTACCTAAGCCGTCAAGCACTCCCTGTTCTGTTTCGGCACCTCTATTTAGGAATCTTTTCTAAAAGTTAGGTTGCCTAAAAGGATCCCCCTAGAGGAATTGAAGCCCATCTCTCCTTGTCAAATGGAATGTCTGAGGGCACCTGTTGCCTCAGCCTCCTTGGAACCAGCAGGTAGCAGGATGGCCTGGACTGGCCCTGCCCACCCCCGTACCGGGCGGGCTGTACATCCTGGTCCACCAGCTCTCGAGAGGGCTTCCTGCGCAGACACTCCACAGCTTCAGCGCTGTCCTCCCGGTCACAGCCCACCTTGGCCGCCAGCAGCCGTGTATACTTGAGCGGTTGATAGTTGACAGACCAGCTGGAGATGGCAGTACCACTCTGGGCGATGGCCTTCTGGAACAGTCCTGGGGGGACAGTGAGTGAGTGTTAGTCCAGAGGAACGGGGGTGCCATAGGGCCAGGGGTGTGGGGACAGGGAAGGGGGGCGCAGGCTGGGAGGTTACTAGTACCTTCTGAGTGATGGGAGAGGATCAGAAGGTTGACACAGGAGGCGCCAGCCCCGGACCCAAAGATGGTGATGCGCTCGGGGTCGCCTCCAAAGTGGGCTATGTTTTCACTGAGCCAGCGCAGGGCCTGGATCTGGTCCAGCAGTCCGTAGTTGCCTTTTGCTGCCTGGTCCCCGGTGCTGAGAAAACCTGTGAGCAGAGGATAAGAGAGGAATCCCTGGGGCCATCACAGCTCCCTAGATCCGCTCGTTTCTGGGCAGCTCGGTCCTAGAAGCTACTCAGGTGCCTTTGGAACCCCGCCCACTCCCACACCCCACCAGGTCCTGCCCCCTGAGTTGGTCGCCCACCCTCACCGAGCACCCCAAGCCTGTAGTTGAGCGTGGCCACGATGACGTTGCCATAGGCAGCCAGGACGGAGCCATCGAACATGTTCCCAGTGCCCTCCATGTAGGAGCCGCCATGCAGGAACAGCATCACAGGCTTCTTCCCTGAGTCCCGGATGTCTGTGTGGGGAGGGGGCGGGAGGGAGGGCCAAGGGGTAAGGGACAGGGACACAGTTAGATCAGAAGCAGCGCTGCCCAGCTCTCAGGCCTGTGAAGAGTGGCCTGAAGCTCAGGGAGCATGTCTCTCCCGTCCCTGGGGGGCAAGACCGGATTCCCCTCCATCCCTCCCCAGGTAGCCCTGACAGTAGGTCCCCCCCATCCCATGTCAGGCAGCCTAGCAGGTCTCCAAACGCAAGACAGAACTTTCAGGAAACCCAACAGAAGCTGAGGTGTGGGGTGGTCCTGCTCAGGGCACCTACTGTGGCCAGGGAACCCCCTCCTCACGCACACACAGCCTATCTCCCTCCCGCTCCAAGGAAGAGCAAGTTCTCAAGGCTGGAACTACAACTGGAGACGCTGGAGGCTCTCAGCCCTTCCTCAAGATGGTGTGCTACCCTGGTCTGTGAGTGAAGGGGTGCCAGGCCTTAGGGTCCCTGGGGGCTTGGTCTCCTCCCCGCCCTAATTCCTTTCTAGGTCACCTCCCCAGTTACCATGGCAACCCCCAGCCTAATTAATGTGGCAGGAGGAGGCAGGGTGGGAAGGAGGCTGCTTAATGAAGCCAGGGTGTAACTCTCTCCTCTTGGACCCCCACTGACTGGCCTGAGCCCTAAGTTCTGCCTTGGACCCTTCTCTTGCCATTTCCAAAAGGGCCTGCTAATCACTGGCACGAGTAGGATGCACTTGAAGGACTTGGGACAGGTCTATGAGGTCGCTCATTCAGAAGAGGGTGGGAGTAGAGAGAGTGTCTTCAAGTGCCTAGCATCCTATCCTAGAGGTCCCTTAAGATTCAGCCACAGTACCAGGGCTGAGGTCACCTCTGACCCACAGGGCTCTCTTCCTTGACACTTAGAATCTTTGACTAGTTTGGGCCCCAGCAAGCATGAGCCAGACCTGGCTGTCCCCAGTTGGTCCTCTAGCATCTCTGCCCACATTCCTCATCTTGGTAGAAATGCTTCTTGCAAGACAACTAGTTAGCAGATACTAAGCCAATCGCTTAGTCCACCACAGACAGTTCTGCACACTTATACTTTGTCGTATTTGACTTTCTCTGCCACCTCCCTCCTCCTGACCTCTCTGGCTGAGCACCTAAGTGGACAGTGCCCTCTGTGTCCTCCCCAATCCTGCTTCTTCCTTCTTCCCTTCGTTCCAGAACACCGTGTGTCCATCCAGCTGCTTCAGGCTAAACTCCCCTTTCCTCCTAAGGTCCTGCTCTAAATGTCCTTGGTTCTAAATGCCCCTTCTCCCCACCCAGCACCTCCACCAGGGCTTCCGGTATTGGGGAGGGGGGTCAGAAGGAGAAGGAGCAGGAAGGGGGACTGGGGTAACAAGAATTCAAAACCAACAACAAAAAAGAGGATCAAGAAAGAAGAAAGAAAGAAAAAAAACAACAACCAAAAAGCAAGAAGCTCTCGGGGCAGATTCAACAAGAAAAGAAAAAACAAAAAAATCCATTTTGGAAAAAAAGAAAAAAAGAAAAAAGTTCTTTGTATTTTTTTTTTCAAAATTTCATGGTGAAACTTCAAGATATTGGGCCCTGCTTTCAAAAATTTCCAAATTCTTTAATTCACTTCAAACGTCTGCACGTTCTGCATCTGATAGGCTTTTTTTTTTTAAATTTTGGAAATTAGAGCAGGTTTCTGCTATTTCAATTGTGTTATCAATTTGCCAAGTTTACTTTTTTCAAATGTTACTTTGCTCCAAATTAAAATTGCTCAAACTCTATAAACATTTTATCCAATTCTTTGATCATTTTCCCCTGGCATTCCAATTTTTGTCTTTTTTTTTTCCAACTTGTTGTAATCATGTTTAGCTTTTCTTGCAAGTTTTCTAGTGGGTCCAACAATGTTTAAGTTTTGTTTGAAGTTTTCAGAATGCTTTTTTCCAACTGTTACAAAATTTTCTTTTCTTTTCTTTTTCGTTTTTAGTTGGGAGAACGACTGAGGGGCCTTGAGGGCTGAGGGGACATTTAGTTCGGGACAGGGCCATGGGCGTTCTCTAATCAGCAACCACATGCAGCCGCGGGATTTTTAAATCTACCTGTGTCTGGCGGATTGAGCGTCGCCTCGTCACGTTTTTTTGTGAGCGGACCTAAGACCGGGAACACAAAACAGAGAAAAAAGGACAATTTTGTGGGGAAAGATGGGGGGTCGGGGGAGGTGGTGGATGGGGAGGGGAGGAGAGAAAGCAGAAAAGGGGAGGGTGAGGGGCAGAAAAAATAAGCCAAAAAAAGCAAAATCTGTTTGCAAGAAAAAGAAACCAAGAAAAGAGAAAAACGTTTCTATAACCCAAATTTTGTTCCCCTCCCCAGAAAAAGTCATGCCCCAGAGAAAATGCTGGTTTTGGAGGGTGGGGGGTGCCTGAGTGGGCTGAGGCCTGTCTTAAGACAAAGTGCCTTGGCTGGAAAGGATGTGCTTTGTCCAAGTGTTTTGCTAATTGCTGGAAATGAAAGGGTGTTAGAGGTGGGGGGAAGGGAGGGAAACCGAGGGAGACCAAGGCCAATAACACACTACTTCTTCCATAGGCCCTTCCAGGGCCAGTCAAGAGCCTGCCTGCTCTCCAGCCTGCAGAGAGGAAGGGTAAGCAGAAAGGATTCTGCTGGGAACCACTTTGAGGATAGAATGGGGCTTGAGACAGCCTTTCCCACCTCACTGCTGCTGGAAGCCCTCAGTTCCCCACTAGAGGACTATGGGTAGGCCACCTAGGGCTACCTGCCCACCTACCCAGCCCCTCAACAGCTGTATCTCTCTTCCATCCACACTCACAGGCCTGGCTTTTCACCTCACCTCCCCAAAGTGGGGTGAAGCAGGGAAAGGGGTCATCAGGTCTTGCCCTCCACTCTGTCTCAACCCTCTGCACTGCCCACCCCCAACTTCATTCCTTACCCAGACCTGCTTTTCTCATCTCCAAACAGTGAACTTCCCACTAGGGGCACCCCACCTCCACCCCCTGCCCCCCATCCATGCTCTACTGCCAAGCCCACCCCCATGTTTGGGGTTCAGTCCACAAACAGGGGACAGGAAATTGACACATAAGGTGCCAGAAGGGGTTGGGAGACAGAAAGTGTGCCCATGGCAAGGAAAAGAATCCAGATTGGGCCTAGAGGTCGCCTCTAGGTTTCTCCCAGATTGGGGGAGGAGGAAATTGGTCAGGGGACAGTGGCCTCCATAGGTATCATGGGTTTCCCCAGGCTGATAAGACAGCTTAGGGAAGGGTGATTATCTCAGTTTCTGGAAGCCTTTTCCCACCTGGCAATCACAACCATCAGAGGAATCTAGTGGGAATAGGGAGCCTGTCCTTTGCAAGCAGGTAGCTGAAGTCAACGGGGTCTGCACACTTTAGAGGTGGGAAGTGTGTGTATGTGTATCTGAGTGTGTGCCTGAGTCAACCTCTTCCTCCTGGAGCTGGTGTGAAGATTCAGTGAGATCACCTGAATGTGTCAGGCCCCAAGAAGCTGTGTCACAAGCAATGGCTAAAAATACAGAAGGTGTGTGGGGAAGAGCGGTGTGGGAGTGGGAAGTGGGTAATATGCATGGAGGTGTTGAGTGGACAGTGGATAAGTGAGGAATGTTGAGTGGACGTTTCACATGGGGTGGTAAGAAATCACCTGAGGGGGATGCTGAGGTAGACACTTTATGCAGGTTCACGGTGGGAACTGTGGAGATGGGTGGTGTGGAGGTACCAGGGTTAATGATTCATAGATGGGAGGACACTGGGCTGGGTGGTTCATGACAGGAGAGGGGAGTGTGAAGTGGGTGGTTCGCAGGCAGAGGGTAGTAGAGTATTGAGAAGTATGGTGTGTTGGGGTAAATGGTGCCATGGGGGTTAGGGTGCTTAGAATTTTTATGGGTTTGGAACAGTTTATTTTGGGGTATTTAGTCTATAGGTTGTTAGCTGGCATGATTTATATGGGAAGAGGGTACTTAGATGTTACAGTGAATAGCTGACATGAAGGATAGAGAGTGGGTGGTTTCAGAGGTCTTGAGATAAACGTGTGTGAGTTTACATGCGCGAGATGTATAGCAGATGAGCTATGGACAGAATGGAGTGGTACCACCAGTGGTAAGGTACACATAATCTCTAGGTGAGACTTGGAGTACGTAGTATTTGAGAAAAGCTGGAGGCTGTGGTGTGGGTGGAGTGTTGGAGCATACGATCAAGGAGTAGGACTATTGGGGGCATAAGACATATGATATGTGGGTATTATTAGAATATATGATTATACTCAGAAATACTGGGGTGCAGTACTTCTAAGTGTTGTTGATGGAGTAAAATGGTCAGTGTGTAGGTTTGCAGGGTACACTGTCTGGGTGTTGAGTAATTGAGGTTCACAGTCTACTGTGGGGCTTCAGCATATCTATGGGGGTGTTGTGTGTGTAGGGTACATATACAGGGGTTCCCAGAAACCAGGTGCATGTGTAGAAGTGGACCATCTTTGTGTGTTGAGATGTTGTGAAGTTTTGACATTGGAAGGGTAATGTAGTGGCTGCTTACAAGTATAGTTTGTTATGGTATCTGGAGGTCTGCTGACAACCCTCTGTTGTAGGCAGCTGAGGTATTCTGGTTAATCGTGGAGTCCTGGAACTGGCAGGTGAGAACTGTCTGACGGAGCATGCTGGGGTTGGTTCTGTGCAGTCCTAGGGTGGACTGGACATTCACTGACAAGAACAGCTGGCTCCATAGCCAGTAGAAGTATTCTATGGGTGTTCTGGGCTGTGAGTGGTGGGTCCTGGGTGAGAAGCTCCCGTGATCTTTCCCTGGGCTACAGAAGAGAGAGTCTCACGGGGAAGAGATGGGATTCGGTTTCTAAGGGCACTCAGCTCCAGTGAGGGTTCTCTAGGGGAGAGGCAATCGGTGGACACCCATGCTGGTGTGGGGAAAGGAGTTTACATTGAGGTACAGATGCAGATATTCTGCCAGGAACGTGCCCAAGTCTGAGGGAGGGAGGCGAACCTAATGGGGGTAGGCGTCTGATACCTCCATCACTCCATCACCCTCAACAGCCACACTGAGATGGGGTGGCTGGATCTGTGTGGGCCTCTTTTGGTAAGCAGAGGTCACCTAGCCTAGTATCTGTGGCCCATATCATTGGCTCTCTGTGGGCACAAAGACCTTCCAGGGAGGCTGGGTGTGGGGTTCCTGGGACTGCCTGGCAGGCACCCTTACCATTCTCAGAAGGTCTGGCGCAGAGGCCTGGGTTGGGGGTGGGGGGTGCACTGGCCAGCACTGCCCCCACAGGCCCCTGGGTCGCAGGAGGGCTTGAGAGTCTGCATGCGCGTCTGTGGGCAGTGTGCACGGGGTGCCCGGACTGGTACCCGAGCCCTTACCATCCTCAGTGGGCACGTAGAGGTTGAGGTACAGGCAGTCCTCGCTCTGGTTCTGCACATAGGTGGCGGCCGCCTCCAAGTTGTCCGTAAACCACACAGGCAGCATGATGGCGGGCAGCGCCCCGTGCAGGTTCTGCGGGCAGGCGGGCGGCAGGGTGGTGGCGTTGCGCACGCCGGGCCACGAGGCGGGGGCCTCAGGCGGCTGGAAACGGCGGGCGCCCAGGGGTGGAGTGGCGTAGGGCACACCCAAGAACTGCACGACGGGGCCCAGGATCTCGTTGTTGAGCTCGCGCCGCACACCGCGCACTTGCCCGTAGGCAGTGTTCACCACTGGGAAGCGCTCCTCCCCGAGGCTGCCGAGGCCCAGGCCCGGGCCGCTGCCAGGACCCCCTCCTCCCCGTTGAGCCCCCGCCAGCCCCACCAGACACAGCGCCAGGAGCCACATGCTGATCGGGGGACCCCCCTCCCTCCCCGGGACCCCCCCCCTCGGAAAGAGAGAGAAGGGGGGGAGAGGGAGGGAGGTCCCCCTCGCCCCAGGAGGGAGGAGGGGGTGGGGGGTAAGGAGGAAGGACCGGGGATGGGGAGGGACGGGGTTAGACTGGACCAAGAAGGGGTCTGTTCCTCTCCATGGAGGGGGCAAGGGGTGGGGATGGGGGAGAAGGTGGGAGAAGGGGAAGGCAGGCCCGACCTGCCAGAGGCAGAGCATGCATAAGACAGACAGACAGACAAAAATACAGAGGGGAGGTGGGAGAAGGGAAAGGACATCGGACAGGACAGAAAGGAAGGAATGGGGAAACAAGAGACAAGTGGTTAGTGACTTGGAATTTAGACCAAGGTGCCCAATTCTTCCACCCCCAGCGCCCTGAGACCTACCCCTCCCCCAGTGCTCCCAAGCAAGGACCCAGGTGGATAAGGCTGTGGAGTGGGATCAGGATGTAAAAGACAAGGACAAATGTGGGTCCGTGTCCTAGACCTAACACACCCCCCTTGAGACCCTTTATCCCTCCCTGGTGGGCTCTCCTCAGGGACTCTGGAGTCCCAGTTTCCACCTCCGTAAGAGAGGAGATAGACAAGAGAAAATAAAAATACCAAGTCATTAATTAGCAGGAAGTGGCGGGTTTGTTTATACATGCTAATTACTCTCGAGCTGTAATTTCTAGGTGCTGAACCCCCAACCCAGACCAGGTTCAGGTCTTTCTTAGGACTTAACAAGCTCAAGCTCAGCACCTTCTTCCCACCTCAAGATTTCATTCTCTAAGGATCTGAGGGGTGCCAGGTCCCCTCTTTCCAGACTATCTTTTTATTTCCCATCAAAAGTTGGGGTTCTTGAGGCAGGGACAAGAGTAGCAAGGGAACATTGGAGGGGCAAGCCCAGGGACAAATAAGTGATCTTGCAGCCCGTTGCTGGGCGACAGGATGCTGCCCCACAATGTTACCTGGGCAACAGGCAGCAGCTTTAACCCTGGGGGGTACTTCTGGAGGCAGAGGGGAAAGGGCTGGATAGGCTCTGGGTCTATCAGGGAATGTGGACAGAGGTGTGGGTCAGAATCAGAACACTAGTTTCTTTAACCTCAGAACAGAGGAAGAAGTATATATGGGGGGGGGAGGTAGAGCATAAAGGACCCTAAAAGACCCATCTTTCCCTCCCTCGTTGGCCAATCAGTACTTGGCCTTAGGACCAGGCCTTTAGCTGGGGAAAAAGGATGCAGACATGGGCTTGAGGGGCTTCAGATGAGCCTACTAAGTGCCCTTCCACATTCTTGAACTGTTTTGGACCCCAGACACCTCTTCTTCCCTGCCCAGCTCCTGACTTGCATCCTGGGGGCAGACCTCAGCGTCCTTCTCATCCCATTCTATCCCCTCACCTCCCCTTCCCCTTGGCAGTCCCCCACAGTTGATGCCTGATGACTGAGTGCTCTGGCCAACACCGCCTGTGAAAGAAGAGGTTAGGCCAAAGGGACAGACACTCAGGTCATTTTAGCAAGCCCCCTTACCCCCCTCACCCCACCCCCAGCTGTCAGAGCTGTTTGCTGACGCTGGGTTTTCAGAGCCAGGCGCCAGTCCGCGGGTGGCTCTCTGCAGGTGTCAATTTATTCCAGAGATGAGGACACAGGAATCCTTACCACACTCACACAGCCATGTCCTCCCCTCCTCAGGACCTCTTAAGCTCCTGTCACCTGAAAGGGGGCTTGGGCCGGCTTCTCCAGGGTCTCCTCTTTCCCTACCAGATGGGGGCTAGGCTTCCATAGCCTTGAAGACCCCTAACTCCCCCCTGCCAACATCAGTAGCCTGTCAGCCCCCTCCCTTAGGTACTTTAGGCCCCTGGTCTCCTCCCAGTTAGCATCTCTCACGGCTTCCTTCCCACTGGAGCCCCCCCTCCAATCTCTTCTCTCCATAGCGCTCCCTCAGAGCATCCTTCCTTGGCCTCTTCCAGCTCGCTCCAGCTCAGCCTTCAGTCTCTCACGACCCTCTCTGTCTTCCCTCTCCCCTTCTCTCTTCTACATCTCTCCTTGGTGTTTCTCTCCACTCCACATCTCTTCCCCAAATTTCTTCCCCCAAGCCTCTTTTCTCCTCTTTTTCTCTCCTCTCTTTCCCTGTCTCCCCCATTTTCCCTTCCCATCTCTGTCTGTCACATTTTGCTCCCCCTCCTTCTCCTGATCCCTTTGCTTTGCTCTCTCCATTCCTGCCCAGGCCTTGCTCCCCCAGCCCCGGAGAGTTGAGGGACAGGGGCTCAGGCCGCAGCACCCCCCCTTCCTGCAGTGGGGAAAATGGCTTGGCCGGGAAGGGGAGACGGAGGGGGAGGGGTAGATGGGAACACACGGGGTCTGTGGGCCCATTCAAAGGATCATTCATAGACTGAAGAGAAGCAGAGACAAAGAGACCGAGACGCAGAGACACGGCGAGAGCATCCCTAGGCGGAGACACGCAGACGAAGCAGGCTGAGGGAGACTAGGCGCAGGGAGAGATACGAAGACAGGGAGACCCCAGCGGACCACCACGCAGCCCCCTCCACCGACTCGGCTTAGCTCCTACCTGGCTCAGCCCCGGGGCCGTGGTGCCTCCATCCAGGGTTCCGAGCGGCGGGCGAAGGGCTTCGGGAGGGGGGCGGCGGCCTCTGAGCCCCCGCGGCCCCGCAGGCCCAGCCCCCGCCCGCAGCGCCTCACCCGGCGGGGGAGGGGGGATCGCCCCAGCCCCGGGGGGGCGGGGCCGGGATCCAGTCGATCCCCGGGGAAAGGAAAGATAGAGGATGGGGTCAGAGGGAGCTGAGGAACAGGGAATCCCGCAGTGGGGACGACCGAGCAAAGAGGGGGCAACCAGCAGGACTGGATCAGGGATCCACTGGCACCGTGGGTCAGCTTCCAGGGACCAAAGGGCGGTCCAGGCGGAGGATCCTAAGGGATCGGGTGCGGGAGGAGGAATTCACAGTAATCCCCTGAGGCTAAGGGCCTGGGAGCGCAGAATCCGCGGTGCAGGGGCAAGGATCCAGCCGGAATCCTCCGGGAGGGGGAGGGATCCAGTCGATCCAGAGGGCGGGGGGGAGGGGGAGGTCCAGGGAGTCGGAGGAGGGCAGGAGCAGAGTCAGTAGCCTGGGGCAGGGGTCTGCACCGGTTGGAGGAGGGAAGGCGAGAGTGAGGGGAGGCTTCATGGGATGCTCAGTAGCCCGGAGGCCCGGACTCCTGGCTCCGCGCGCCAGGGCCCGCCCGCCCCGCGTCCATCCCAGCCCAAGAGTGATGATCCGCTGGCGGAGCAGCCGCAGCAGCCCCGCGCGTCACCGCGAGGCCGCCTCCCCCGCCCCCTGCCGGGAGAGCGGCGCACACCCCTCGCTCGCACCAGCCGGCCCGCCCGCCCTCCGGAGTGTGGGGAGTTGGAGGCGGGGGAAGGGGCGGGAATGGACAGACGGACAGATGAACGAAGCAGGCCTAGGCAAAATGGAGACATCCCCCTCCCCAGATCACCCACCCTCGGGGTCCTCACCGCCTAGTGGGTAGGACAGAAGGGTTGAACGATAGGAGGCGGGGCAACATAAGAAGAAGGCGGGGCTTTCTGGCTCGGAGGAGGAGCCATCAGGTCAGTGGGCGGGAGTTAATAGCGATGGGTGGGGCTTGTGTTTCCATAGGCCGCCTCTTTTTGGGAGTGGGTCTGGCTTGAAACTGGACAGGAGGAGCCTGTGAGGAAAGGGGCGGAACTTTGCATGGGGACCGGGATCTTTGGAAATTGTCCGGAGGCTTGGGGGAGAGGGAGGTATTTTAGAAGAGGCGATCAACTCGGAAAGTGGGCCAATCCGTGACGTAAATCTTCTAGTCCCTCCCTCAACTATCGTCACTGATCAGTTACTGCTCTCCTAATTGGCTCTGGTTTCTCCGCCCGCCAGATATCTTCGCCATTGAGCAGCGGTTTTACAAAGGCGCAAGTACCCGGGTGAAGACCTGCACGCTGAAATGAACACAGCCTGGGTTGGGCATCTGTGTACCCTATTTGCATGGGCGATCGGGATTGGCTGCCCTCTTCGGTGGCCTGGGCGGTGTTCGTTCTGCGCGTGATCATCCACAGCCATGGCCGGATTGCGGGCTGCGTTCAGGCGCTTGGGCGCCTTGTCCGGAGCTGCAGCCTTAGGCTTGGCCACCTACGGGGCGCACGGTCAGGGGACTGGGGCTTGAACTGTGTTCATGGGCATTACAGGAGCAATCCCCGGGGTCTGGTGCAAGGGCGGAGCCTGTGGGAAGTACCCAGTTTCCCATAGACCAGACAGCCCGCGGAGCCTTAAACCTTTTTCAAGTTCTCCAGGGGAGTCCTGCTAGTTCCCAGAATTGCCCGATCAGTGTTTCTGCCAACCTGAAGCCTTCTAGGGGCTTTCCTAATGCCTACCTGAGTGCACGGGAGAAAGGGTAGCAGGGGCTCGTGCTCGGATTGGGCGTTCCTCCTAACCTTTGCTTCTCTACTCCACAGGCGCCCAGTTTCCGGATGCCTACGGAAAGGAGGTGAAGTAACTGCTCGTTCCCCCTCCAAATCTATCAGGACATGGAGCTTGGGGTGCCAGTAGGAAGTGTGTGTGTGGGGAGGGGGTGCAGAGCCTAGGTCTCTCTTGCAAAGGGATTGCCCGCTTGAATTGTGGGTGCCTGGGGTGAAGGACAGTTTGCAGGGGTGAGGTGGGTGGGTGGGCATCGTTTATCTTTTATGTCCACACGGGGGCTCAGGCTCCTGCCTTCATTAGGAAGCCCCACTACCATCTCCTTTTCTTACAGCTCTTTGAAAAGGCCAACAAACATCACTTCTCTCACAGCCTGGCTCTGTTAGCGGTGCCCCATTGCAGAAAGCCCCTCTGGGTAATCTTCACTTCCTCCTAACCCTGGCCAGGCCTTACACCCTGGAATCTCACCTTGTTCTTACAAGACGGTGTTCCACCCTCTCTCCTACAGGCTGGACTACTGCTTGTCTCTGGAACCACCTTGTTCTGCACCAGCTTTTACTACCAGGCCTTGAGTGGAGACCCCAGCATCCAGCCTTTGGCCCCTGTAGGAGGGAGCTTGCTCTTTCTGGGCTGGCTTGCCTTGGCTCTTTGAGCTCTCGTGTGTTTAATTTCAATAATTGTTTTTAAAGAGTTGGAATAGGAAAGGGATTAAAAGATAAGCAAAATAAAGGACACTGGAATCTTTTTACTGTAACCTCTTGGAAGAGGAAAGGTAGAGATTGACAGACAGCCTTTTTCCTAAAATGGAATCTGTCAACTCCAGGTCTGGGGATTGGAATGCTTATAATGATGATGATAAGGATTGTTGCTATAGCAGCTCAGGCCTAGGAATCTGTAGTAAGATCCCTGTGTGGGTCTACTTGTGATGATTATTGTAGATTTTAATTTTATCCACCCATAAGTTTACTTGGCTACCCCACTTACTTTCTGCCAGATATGCCATGCTGTCTTTGGCTGTCCTGAGACTGAAGAGAGAGACAGGCATTCATCAAGTTACTCACATGTTCAGTGACAGTAGTGTGCTAGGGTGGTGCACACGGTTGGCTAAGGGCTGGACTACTACGGAAAAGTTTTTCTGGGTCAAATCCATCAGATACACTGCAGAAGTAAAGCCTGGCAATCTGCAGCTGAAGGGTCAGAGCCCTGAAAAACCTATAGTGCAGTTCTACTCTACACACATGGCAACTTAAAACAAGATACTAGTTACAATAAATTCTAAAACTAGTCATTACCTGCTGTCAAGTTGGCCTAATTCCTCATTCTTTTTTAGATGCTGTGAAATTAAGTACAACTAATACTGGCCCTATGAACAACAGATTTGAACCCTATCCTATCCTTTGTTGTCATCATCTCTGACACATTAGAGCCCTTTGTGGAAGTCACTGTGTTAATCTATCTTGGTAGGGGTCTTCCTCTCCATTGACCCTCTAGTTTTCAAGCAGGATGGATGTCCTTTTCCAAGGAACAGCTTCTCCTAGCTACATGTCAAAAGTATGAGAGATTAAAAAAAAGTATGAGCGATAAAGCTTTACTATCTTTGCCTCCAGGAAGTATCCAGGTTGCACTTTCTCCAAGACTTTTCTGTTCTTTTGGCAGTTCAAGGGGTTCTCAGTCCTCTTTTTCTAGTACCACAATTCGAAGGCATCAATTCTGTCATTCATTGTCCAGTTCTCTTGTGGAGCAAGAGATTGAGAAGACCATGCCTGAATTAAATGTACCTTAGTCTTCAAACTGACTTCATTGTTTTTCAGTATTTTGGAGAGGTCTCTGACAGTGACTTGCCCAATGCAATACATCTGATTTCCTGCTGGTACCAAGGGTGTTGATTATTGATCCAAGCAAGATGAAATAGTTGGCAATTTCAATCCTTTCTCCATCTCTCATGCTGTTGACTGTTCCTGTGGTGATGACCTTTGCTTTCTTGATACTGAGATGTAATCCCTACCAAAAGCTGTAGTCCTTGATCTTCTGCGGCAAGCATTTAATAGCCTCCTCACTTTCAGCAAGCAGAGTTGTGTGATCTGCATAACACAGGTTGTTAAGTCTTCCTCGTGTGACCCCCACATATATAGCAGAATAAAACATTGTCTGGTTCTGCACTTATCCTCATGACTGGCGTGAAAACGGTGTTGCTGGCACTGAAGAGACTGCTTCTGAGCTCAGCTAACTCCACAAGGGAGAGAACATCAACAGCACAAAGCTGATGCCTGTGATGTCAGACTGCCCTATTCTCTCAGACCTATTCATTCTAGTACCATTTGTCCTTTGCCAAAGCTCTTGCTACTTTATTGCTAGGTTCACTAACCTGTTGGCAGTGGCCACACAGAACTCAAATGATAAGATTGTGGGGTTTATTAGGAAAGTAAGAATTTACAATCCAGATCAGAGGATGCAGTTCTTCTGTTAGGATAACTTGTTTTCAAGCTTTAACTCTCAGCTCTGGGCCCTGCCACTCATGAAAGCAAGTGTTAATAAAGTTCTTTTTGTTCTGCCAGTTATGTACCCTCTCCCACCACCCTACCAGTAAGCCTAGGCCAAAGGCCTTGGCGCTGGCTCCATGGGGCTGCAGGTCTAGTTCAGCAGTGTGCCACTTAGGTCTCTGCCTTTCTACATCATCAGCTGCTGCCAGTGCCACCTCTATGTCTCTGCCTCACTCTATCTGATATAAAAATCTCTGACCTGAAGGAGGTTATGACACTTACTTCTTTCTTGATGGTGAGATATGATTTTCTGCCTATGAACTTGCTCAGTTTAAGCATGGAGAGATGGCAAAGCTGACCAATCCCCTCATTAGTGAGTGGTCTATGCACCTTATTTGTATGTGTCATCCAAAGGTGCTATTTACTATATATTATTAACAAGCTGTCCAATTCTCTGTTGGGTCAAAAATACTCCACATAAATATAGTCTTACCTGTCATCCTTGTTATGCTTCTGAGAGCTAGACAATGACTAAGGATGACAGAAGAAGAATCGATTCCTTTGAATTGAGGTACTGGAAGAGTATCAAATATGCCATGGACTGCCAAGAGAACTAAGAAGTCTGTCCTGAAAAGAGTGAAACCAGTTTGCTCATTGGAGGCAAGGGTTTTGAAGGTCCATCATATGTACTTGGGCATGTTACCAGTCCTTGGAGAAGGGCATCATGTTTAGAAGGGTGGAGGGTCATCGAAGGAGATGAAGACCTAGGATGAGATGGAGTGACAGTGACTGTGGCAGTGTAGGCAGATGTGTCAGAGATGATGAGGCTGGCTTAGAATAGTCAAGACTGAGTCATTGTTCACAGGGTTGCTATGAGTTGTTGACTTGATAGCACATAATAACAACCCAGCCATATAGTGAAAGTCAAAGGCAATGTCTTTTGTTGATGTGTGCTATTGTTGTTAGGTACCCACAGATGATCCATCAGGTCTTCAGAGACAGTAAATCACAGGAGGAGATTGCCTATCCTGTGGAGCAGCTGGAGGATTTGAACCACGTGCCTTTGAGATGGCAGCACAATTTCTTACCACTAAGCAACCAGAGCTCCCTATGGCATGGGAGGAGAATGCCCATCTTCTGCAGAGGAACTGGTGGATTTGAACCACTTGTCTTTGAGTTGGAAGTGCAGCTACTGACCACTAAGCTATCAGAACTCCCCTAGGTGAATGTCTAGAAAAGCCAATTGAATGATCCATTATAGCACATTGGTTGTGGAGGAGACTATGGTAGAGCTCCTAGCTTTTTAAAAGTAGATATTTTCAGATTCTATTTTTGGTGATTCTGACGCAGTAACTCTGGGATGATGGGTGCTGGGAATTCTGGACACTGGTGATTTTGAGATACAGCCAGGGCTGAGAATCTCCCTGGGGGTTGGGTGGAATGCAGTCTTAGAGGGTTCTTGGGGAGGATGAGGGTTTGACATGCTTAGAAGGACTCTCCTAAGCACTTTTGTTTTGAATTTTTAGTTTCATTCAGTTAAGGAGGAGCTCAGCTGATCCTCCAGCAGGTTTTCAGAAACAATATATTACATGGGAGTAGACTGCCATCATTCTTCTTTGAAGCAGTTACTGTATTTGAACTGCCTGCCTTTGAGTTGTCAGAGCAACTCCTTATCACTAAGTCACCCAAGCTCAGAAATGAGAATGTTATTGGTATGTGCCCTTGAGTCGTCTGTGACTCATAGCGACCCTTTATAAAATAGCTCTGAATCCTGCCCTATCCTGAAGCAGTCTCACTGTCTCAAACATACCTAACCCCATTACCCCAGTTTCTGTGTCAATCCATCTCATCTCAAATGAGATTAGAGGTAGGAAAGCTGACAGAAGTTGAAGACAGTGTCTCCCTTGTACCTCCTTTGCACCTGTATTGTCTCTGCGCTCACAGAATGGTGCTAACTGCCTTCAAGTTTGCCTAGACTCAAAGGCACAGCAGGATCTGAACCGCTGTGGTTAATAGGGTATTCACTGATGGATTTTTAAAGGCATGTTGTTGGGCCGTTCATTCTAGTCCATTTTAGTCTGGAGATTCCACTAAAAGCTATTTCACTAACGACTCCTAACGACTATTGTCCTTGTTCTTAAGATTGTTAAGTGTCACTCACTGGATTAGTTCCAACTCAGTGATATTAGGTGCAACAGAATGAAAGAGCCTGTCCTGCCCCACTTTTGCAATAATTTCTTTGTTTGAGCCATTGTTGTCATCACTGTTCATTGAGGGTCTTCCCCCTTTTCACTGACCCTATGCCAAGTTTCACGTCCTTCAATAACTGATCCCTCCTGATGACCTGTCCAAAGTAGATGAGACAGACTAAACTGCCCAAGGGTGTGCAGCAGGAATGTGTCCTTTCTCCATACCTATTCAGTCTGTGTACTGAGCATATCACTTGAGAGGCTGGACTCTATGAAGAAAAATGTGGCATTAGGATTGGAGGAAGACTCATCAATAACCTGTATTATGCAGACAACAAAACCTTGCCAGCTCAAAGCAAGGATTTGAGTCAGAAGATCAAAGATTACAGTCTTCAATATGGGTTACAGCTCAACATCAAGAAAACAAAAGTCCTCACCTCTGGGTCTATAGACAACATCATGGTAGATGGGAAAAAGATTGAAATTGTCAGTGATTTCTTCTTACTTGCATACATCATCAACATCCCTGTTACCAACAATCAGGAGATCAAGAGATGTATTGCACTGGACAAATCTCCTGTCAAGGACCTCTCCAAAATAATGAAAAGTAATAACGGTCTGAAGACTAAGGTGCACCTGATTTATGCATGATCTTTCTAATCACCTGTTGTGCATCTGAGAGCTGTATAGTGAATAAGAATGACAGAAAAAGAATTGATGTCTTTGAATTGTGGTGCTGGAGGAGTACTGAGATTCCTACAAACTGCCAAGAGAACACATACATATTGAAAAAAGTGCAGCCAGAGTGCTTCTTGGAGGCAAAGGTGATGAAGCTTCATCTCTTATACATTGGACATATTGCTAGGAGAGGGTGTTCTTTGGAAAGGGACCTCATGTTTAGAAAGCTGGAGGGGTCAGTGAAAAACCCTCATCAAGATGGATTGACAGTGACTGCAGCAATGGGCTCACATGTGTCAAATGAT